AATTAATGCGGAAATTAAAGTGATTGGGTCTCTCTAGGTGAGAGTTTTTAATGTGTGTAATCTGCTTTTTAGCGTTATCCCCCTTAATGAGGATTAAGGGAGGTATTTATAACCTCGGGAAACGTGTCAATCTAGGTTTAGGTTAACCTTGGGCTGATTGGGCTTCCCTCGGAAGTTGGGCCTAGGTGACCGGTTATCCCAGGTGTCATGGGAAGGACACGTGTCGTGTCGTAATTGGTCCACAGTGGACGGATCATTGCTTGACACGTGGCAGGCTCCTATTGGCCCATGTGACGGACACATGGCGGAACCTGATTGGTCCACTTGTCAGATGGTGATTGGTGGGGAAAAATCCCCTAATCAATAGTAATTACATTAAAGATAAGTGAAACAATAATCAAATTCAATATATTTTGGTAAAAATTTCAGATTTAGAGCAGTTTGATTTGAATTTTTCAGGTCTAATTTTGACTTGGTTTGACTTGTCTAAATTATAACTTTCGCATTACACTAATGACTAAGAATAAATATTATTCCGTAACTAGTAGGGTCTTTTTAAAGCATCCACATTCATTGGAAATTAAGGTCCTCATTTGACCAAATAAGCATATGGAGACCTTCTCACCAATGTTACTACTTCCCCATTTCACAAATATTTTGGAGAGGTTATTTTGATGAGAAGCCTTCCAAAAATTCAAGTAGGACGAATTTGCATCAATTGGCCGCCAAAACCCACTTAACCATGCACCTAACATGAAACATGATTTTATTGTTCACACAACTGTAATATTACTGTTTTTGTTTAATAACTCCCAATGAATCCCGTGGATGAGTTGTTCACTTAGCAGCAAGAATCGGTTTGAAAAGATGTTGAGCGTACCTTTTGCGTTCTTCAATCACGTTTCGCAATAAATACAAAGACCAGCCCTTGTATGGAATGAACACTTGTTGTGGGACTAACACTTCAATCAACATTCATGGGGATCCCCATAATTTCTCTCTCATCACCTCATTAGGCCACATCACTTCCCACTAACTTTATCACATACCCTTTTCATTTTACAATTCCATACCTACATTCATTAACCTCCACATTTACTTTATCTCTCCTATTTTTCTATACCCCACCACTTTTTCTCCGTCCTACTTTCCATAATCCATACCCCACCAATATCATCACATAATTAATCGGATTAATTCATAATTTTTTTTTTTTGAGAAAATTAATTCATTATTTGTATTATGTTAATAAGGTGTTATGTTTAATTACACTACTTTAATCACTTTGGTATTATTACACTAATTTACTCAACAATGTTAAAAATCATGCTTATTTTGGTGTTAATTTTTAAATACGCAAATATTATTGATTTTCTTTATTATTACAACAACTAAATGCTTTTTTTTAAAAAAAAAAAAAACATAGATTCACTTAAAAAACATAGATGAAATTGTTTTTTTTAAAAAAAAAAAAGAAAAATAGATGAAATTGAACATGATACCATACAATTAATTTTTTTTTATTAAAATTGCAGGTAGATCTTTCGTCATCATCGGTAGACCGCCCACAATGTTGCCAAATATGTTGGGTCAAGTCTCTTTGTAAGGAGTTGTGAACATTTCTATCCCATGCGTCATCTCTCCTTTCCATATATCGGTTCAATCCAATATTATTAAATCGACCAGGTTGCACAGAATAGTTCGTACTAGTTGATCTGTCAATCACTGTCCTGTTTTCTTGCACCAAATTCCGACATGTCATGATAATTCTGGTATGTATCTCGTTCATCCTCAACAATCATATTGTGAAGAATTATAAAAGCCAGCATTATCTCCCACAACAAGTGTTCGTCCCATGCAAGAACTAGTCTTTGTATTATTGCAAAACGTGATTGAAGAATGCCAAAGGCATGCTCAACACCTTTTCGAACAGATTATTTGAATTTTGCTGAGAATTTGAATTTGGTTGGTAATTTGGATTTTGTTGAGAACTCGAATTTGATTGGTAACTTGGATTTTGTTGGGAATTTGGATTTCTTTGATATCTATTTCCATAATTAGGATTATTGGGGTCCATTATTTATCAAATAAGATTATGGTGAAATACTTATAGTATCAGATATAGAAATTATGTTTTTTTAGAAGTGTTGAAAATATATCAAGATTGATCTCTATTTATAGAGGATAAAAAATATGATCAAAGGTATTTTTTTTTAAATTAATTAAATTTAAAAAGTTATTCAACAAAAAACGGTAATATTACCGTTGTGTGAACAAAAAATCATGTTATCGTTGATATAGCCGTTAAAATGCTTTGTTTTGTTTAGTTTTCTAATTTATTTTTAAAAAAAATTGAAAAAGGTGCATGGTCAGTGGGTTTCGGCGTCATATTGTGAAAATTGGGACCACCTGATTTTTAGGAGACTTCCAATCAAATTAATCTCTCCAAAAATATTTAGTTAATGGGAAAGTAGTAAAAGCATGAATATTGTTAAGGAAATTTGTTTCTTTTCCCATATTATCTCTCCTCTCTCTCCTCCATTTGACACATTGCACTCTCTTTCCTCCACATCATTATACACTATCTCAATCCTTTTCCTCATCCTCTTTTTTCTATTTTTCCAACATCAATGAGTATCCTTTTCCCTTCTCTCTCCTACTTACATATACCCCACATTTATTCTCTCTTCAATTAATATATTTAATTATGAATTAAATATTTTAAAATTATTATTATTATTATTATTATTATTATTATTATTATTATTCTTATTATTATTATTATTATTATTATTATTATCAATGTTATTATTATTATTAATGAATTAAGAAAAGTAATTTACATTAATAAAAATGTGAACATTTATTTAGCACATTAAATTAGTACTTTAATAATAATAAGCAACTAATATAAAATACATGTACTACAACACATAAATTACAAACTTGAAATACACAAATTAAAATAAGCAACACTAATAAAATTAAAATACATGAAATATTAATTCGTAACCGAGTTTCTAGACCTTGCCTATAAATGATCAACCAAGTCGTTTTTCAATGCTACATGGACTTGTCTATCACGAATCCCAAAATTTTCTAGATCGTAATGACCAAGAGTAACGGTGAATGTTGTATTATTTCTAGTAGATGACATATTTTCAGGTTATTCTTCGAAGAACTCATGTTGTGGATCTTTATAATTTAAGTATGTATCACGCTCGTCTTCAACAATCATGTTGTGGATTATGATGCAAGTCATCATGATTTTCACATCAACTCTACACTCTATGTCAAAGCAGGTTTCCTGATTATTGCAAAACGAGCTTGTAGCACACCAAATGCACGCTCAATGATAAGTGCATAATATACCATATTTTTAGCCCCTAATATAGTCTTATAAGTGTCTTTTAGTTATTATTTTAGAAGTTTAACTAACTTTTATTATATTAGTCATATATTTATCTTTTATTAATTTTATTATTAAGTTAGTATAAATATTACTTAATACGTTTATTTTGTTAATTAGGAATTGGAGACCTAATTTAACCAACACGTGAGATGATAAAACAAGAAGAAATAAAGGATGACGTGGCAAATATGCAAGCCAACAAATATGCAAGCCAGCAGTTCACAACACAAGCAAAGAAAAGAAAAGAAAAAAAAAAGAGAAAGAACATCACGTGAAGAGTCATAGGAAAGAAGCAAAAGCAAATAAGATAAGAAATCCTCAAGTACTCCGTCAATACCGAGGTCACAAAAACAAACTTATCTTCATCTTCAGCCATAATCCAAGATTCTAGCTTTAACTTACTCTCCAAAATTCAAGAAAAGATGAAGATTTATCCTATACTACAATTTTATCCCTTCAAATCCAGAAAACCTATGTTGTTTTCAATTATAAAAATCCCCAATCACCCCTCCCAACCAACACACAAGTTTTACCACAAAAATTATACAGGAAGTTCGTGAGGCTTAGTAGAGCACGAATTGGTCCAGGGTTGATCAATTGGGTGGTATTGGAAGGAGAAGGGACGAATTTGACGACGAGTTCGAGCAGCGGCTGTTTGATTCTTTGCTCAGTTCATAAGTTCTCCTGATTTATGTTTCGTCGTTTAAACGCCGAGTATAATCGTATTTCAATATTCAAGTTTGATATTTAATTGATTCACATGATTCTTTCCTTGTTTTTATATGAACGTTTAATTCATCTATACTTGTAATAGTACATGATTGCTAGTGTAAAGTAATTAGACTATGCTGAATTATTACTTGATGCGGCGTTAATTGATAATTTAGAGTGAATGACTCGATATTACTAGTTTGAGCGACTCAATCGCAGTTTTATTGAGTTTGTGGGTTGGTCTAATAAATCAAGTTTATTGGGGTAGAAAGTGTATTAGCAAGATTCTAATTTCTAGTGAGCTATATATGTCAAATTGACCGCGGCGGTAATTTGAATACCTAAGTGTTAAGTTGAATATTGAAGGAGACTATATGAAAGGAAGTTGGGAAATAAGTTATGTCGTTTTAATCTATGATCGAATTGGTATCACATTGGTGGTTTGCTTGTCGTCTATTGTAAATAATAGATTAGTATATTTTTTTTATCTTGTTTGGCTTAGTTACTCGTTCGATTTAACCCCCCCAATCTCAAGTACATAGTGTGAATAATACTCTATTATGTATATGATTTATTTTTCGAGTTAGACTTTAAGTTTTAAGAGTTGATTAATCTCCTCGCGGGATCGACCCTTGCTTACCCTTTTACTAGTTGTTAATATTTTTGAAGGTTAAGTTAGGAAAATAAATATTTAATTTTATACGGTAAACGACACGTATCACTCAACATCCTTTCTAGCACTCTCTTGACGTTCAGTGAACAGTTTATGCTTAGCGGTTTGGGGGGCCGTAATAGCATCGATAAATGTCGACCATTTTGGATAGATCCCATCCGTGAGATAATATCCTTTGTTGTAAGTATTTCCATTAATTGTGAATTAAACTTGTGGAGCACGATTATTTATTATATCATTGAAAACCAAAGAACGCTGAAGTACATTAATGTCGTTGCATGATCCCGGAGTCCCAAAAAAGGCATGCCAAATCCATAAATCCCTAGAAGCAACGGCTTCTAAAATGACAGTTGTCGCTTCAGATCTTCCTTGATACATTCCTTTCCATCCGCCTGGACAATTTTTCCATACCCAATGCATGCAATCAATGCTGCCAAGCATGCCAGGGAATCCTCTGTCCTCCCCTTCTCTAAGGAGACGTTGGATGTCTTCCGATGTTGGGTTGCGAAGGTACTCAATTGCAAATTGAGCAATGACTCCATCAAAAAACTGTCCAAGACATTCTTTAGTAGTACTTGCACCAAGCTTCAGATATTCTACTTGATCAGCTGAACAACCATAAGCTAACATACGTATGGCTGCTGTACATTTCTGAAGGGGTGAAGCACCAAGACGCATGGTTGCATCTGGGTGTTGTTGGAAGTTGCACTTAATGTGTTGACAATGTGAAGAAAAAGGGGTCTTCGCATACGAAACCTCCTTCAGAACTTAGTTTCATCATATATTGGTTGATCACTAAAGTAATCTGCAACCAAATTATTGTGAGCTGCTTCACAATCTCTGGGCACAGTTATCCTTCGCTCTCTTTGACGTTTATGTTCATCTTGTTGTACGGAAATGTTAACAGTTTGTATTATTGCATGTTACATTACTTGTAATCGACGACTTTCATTGATAAAATCCATGACCATGTGATCATAAATATCATCATTTGAACTCCAAGAAGAAGAAGAACTTGAAAAATTAGAATAATGGTTCATATTGTGTTTAGAAAAGAGTATTTGAGATTGAGAAGGTCGGTAGTAATTGATGTAATGTTATTGTGAATTATATTATGAACTTTATAGACAAAAATAGGATAAGGTAAGTTAGAAAATAAGATTTTTGATAAGGATATGTGGTTACAAAACAAGGTTATTTGTAAGATATGATTTCTATTCTTAATAGTCGTAAGATATGAATAGTCAAAAGATAACACAAATAACACATAAGATATGTCAAAAAAAAAAATTTATGACCGTTGGTATATTTTATTTATAAGAATATTTGACCATTTGAGTTGTATTATTGTTATACATTTTTTGAACTCTAAAAATAACTCCATATATTTGACCGTTGGAGTCATTTTGTGAAAGGAATGGTGTCCTTCCAACAAGTGTATTATTCCGGTAGAGGGTTCAGAATTATTACAAAGGTAATTCTTCAGTAAGGTCAAGTGATCGGAATGCCTAGGTGGAGGCCGCTTCCAATCAGTAATATCAAGGTACAATTGATATTACAGCTTAATCTTAACTGAACCCTTCGGGTCGAACCCAATCGAATCTCCGATCCGAGACGTCGAATTAATCCGAAAGGACTTAATGAGTCGACAGAGTTTTACGAATACAGACGTCGGAAATCGAGCCTAGGGCGTCGATACCGAGCGTCGCAAAATCACAATCGACAAGCATGAGCGTAGCCATAGCTAGGCTAGGCTAGCTCATCGCAAACCTAGGTGCACCATGTGTGTGCTAGGCGCACCATGGTATGCTAGGCACCATCGCAGCCTAGGCGCACCCTAGCAGCCCATCGCAAGCTAGCATGGGTGCCTAGGTGCGCATGGCAGCCATCGCAGGCCACACAGGCACCAGGCAGCCCATAGCAGCTAGCAAGCATGCTATGGTGGTGCATGGGTGCATATGGCGCCTATCGCAGGCCATGGCATCACCAGGCGCACCATCGCAAGCACTGGGTGCTGTGTGCGTGCGTGCCTGGCCTGGCAGCACCATCGCAAGCACCAGGTGCTGGCATGGCTGGCTGCCTGGCAATGGCGCGCCATGTGCGTGTGCTTGAGTGCTAGCCTTCGCATGGCAGCACTAAGCATCGTAGCACATGCGAGGGGCTGCGCGCCAGCTCGATGCTAGGGCCTGGCACTCGCAGCCTCGCACACTAGCCTCGCACAAGCAGCCTCGCATGTGATGCGTGTGGGCTGGCAGTGCGTGGTGCGTGGCGCATGGCTAGTGCGTGTGCGTGCAATGCCTGGCTAGGTGCTAGGCAGCAGTGCCACGCATGCGAGTGCGTGTACGTGCGCACATGCCTCGCATCAAGCACAAGCAGTGCTAGGCACTGGCTAGTGCTAGCGTAGGCATCGTGCTAGTACGTTTGTGCGATGGGGTATGCGAATGGTGCGGGGGGCAGTGTGGCCAGCATGCGTGGCTCGCTAGCAGCACCCATGCTGGTTGTGCTAGCAGTGAGGCGCGAAGAGTAAGTGCGTGGGCTGCTGGGGCTAATGCCAGCACTAGGTGCTAGCAACGCCCAGCGCCAGCACGTAGCACCAGCACATCCCAGCAGCAGCGTGCACTGGCTGGTTGGCTGGGTGCTGGGCAGCAAGGCACGCTAGCTGGCAGCCAGCTAGCACACCTTGACCCGGTTTTGGGCATGGTGTGTGGGGACCAATACATGGCCTTGGGGATCAAGGCAATGGTCCCCCCCAAGCCTTGGTCCTCACTTGGCTTTCTCTATAGTTGTGCCATGTGTCGATTTGTGATTGAGTTGATTAATTATTTAATTTTGGAATTAAATAATTATCATTTTACCAACTCTCCCACATTGATGGAGATTGGAAATCAAGGGATCATTTCCCTATAAATACCAAGCTTGGTATTGGGATTTGATACAACCTTGAGTGGAATTAAAAAGGCAACTCTAGAAAAGAGTAAACCTTTGATTCGTAAAACTCATAGTTATTTTGTCCGGGTCTTGACTAACCTTCAAGACTTAGGACGCTCGGGTCGGGTCGAGGGTACGATCCGTCGGAGATCTCGTCTTTTTGGGATTTTGAAGTAAGAGCTCTTTAGGAGCGAAGCACGCGTCAAAGGTATAATTCTTGTCCTTAATCTTGTTTGATTAAGTTAATTATGCTTGTTTAATTGCTTTAATTAAGGGGCGGGTCTTGGTGGGTTTCCTTCCGCGTAGTGTCGGGTCACTACGAAACCCTACATTTTGAAGTTTTGTTGCATTAACAACTGACAACTTCCCACCCAAATACAATTTATTTTTTATTTTTATTATATTAAACCCCTTTATTGGCAACACAAGCCAAAGTTCTCAATCCTCTCCACCAAGAGGAATGAGCATAGGATCTCTGGAATCGGAAGAGAAGCTCTAACCACTTGAGCTATCCCTCACTCTCACGAGGTATGAGTATTCTCCTTTTGCTAAAAGGATACTTTTAACAATTTTAACATCAATGAGGATTGTGTTAAGTACAAAAAAAGGAGAGCTAAGAGCATATCAATCCTCATTTATGTTGATCATGCTCTAACATTGGTGGGAAGGCCCCATTTTCATTTATATAAAACTCTGTACAAATTTGTCACTTAATAAAAGATTTTTTTTTATTTTATTTTTTTTATCTCGTAGATACACTTGAATTTTACCATTTACATCTTAGTGCCTTTTTTTTTTTTTTTTTTTTTTTTGAGTTAATCCTAGTGCCCTTTATAATTCTCAATTTAACCTTATTATTCCCATCCACAGCATACCTCACTACACTCTTACAAGCAAGCAATCAGCAATGGACATCCACCTAACAAGCGCAGCTCCACGCCTCCACCACCCTCTTCTCTATTCCCACCACAAACACCATACATTGACTATCGTCGACCTTGACATTGCGAATCAAAGATCCATCAATGGATTATTCATGGCTATGCAAACTTTCTAAAACCCGTGGTAACAACGATGTTCATGAATTCCACTACCACCTATAGGCAGAGCCCGCAGAGGCCTTCACAATGTCCACTAGCACATATGCGGAGGCATCAAGATTTTTTTTTTTTTGCACAAAGAGAGGACAATCCTGGTTGAGTTGCTACTCTTCCTACATAGCAAAAAATAAAAATTCTACCTTGCATAGCTGTTGAAATGAAGGATGAATTGATTTACAACATCATCAATACTTAATAGATACTATCAAATATAATCAAATAAGAGTACTCTTATGTTTTACATAATAATCCACGTTTTAAACTATTTCCTTGAGAATGCTTTTAGCACTCGTTACAAAGTTAAAAGGGAACCCCATCAACAAAACTACAAAAGAATTTTGCTTTCTTAATAGAGATAAATAGAGTTGTTGCAAAAATACATTGTTATGAGCACACTTTCACTACTTTACTAGCTTACATAGGATAGCACCAGCAAGTGTACATCTGATCTCTTATATGATTCCATGTATGGTAGCAAATTATATGGCCTAATAGATTTGGTTATATCCCTAACAAGAAGATTATTTTGACAGCATAAGTTCAGAAAACAATTGAAAGTATCAATGTTTCGTATCACTGAGGCAATAATGGCCACCGGACCAATATCCATTTCTTTGATCAAGGTTCTTAAAGTCGCTTCCTGTAATGTCGCTGTGTTGGATTCCGTAGAATCATCACCGAGGCAATCTTCTTCTTTATTATCTACACGAGCACTGCCATTCAATTTACTGTCACTGGTTTTTCTTCGATTTAGAAAAATGGATAGCACTTGAACAAGATGTGGGAGGCATGATGGATCATAGATTACATCAGCTCCCAAACTGCAAGGCAACCAAACAAAATATATATGCTCAGGGATGAGAGTAACAGGGCACATAATTTACTTTAAGGCCCTGCTTTGCCTGAAATTACTAAACTGATATTATATATGCTGATTAAAAGTAATTTATTGAATTTTTTTCCTGATTATAACTGAAATGTGCATTATTGTATAATTCTTTAAACTTGAGAAGAACAGAACTTCAATCTCTCCAGAAATTAACGGAATTCTTTGTAGATTTTAGATAGGATACCCTTAAGATAGTACATGCAACCATTAAAGTGTACTCAAATTATGTCCATGCTCAAGTTGACTATGCAAGGAGGGTTCACAGTTGGCTATATGGCCTATATTTTATCAAAGCAAAACTTGCAACATTTCTACAGCTTGAATTCCCAATTCCTCTCTGGTCTCGGACTTTCATACTTCGTAGTTTAAAATTATCTTAAAGAGAGAGATCTCTATTGAAGAGTCACGACCAACAGATGAAGTGTCACTTCAGGAAATATGGGTTTTCATACCTCATGGTATAAAATTATCTTTTACTTTCTTTACAAGTCCTTCTTGTTGCTATTTACCGCCTTCACCGGACTTTTACCGGCCATTCAAGTCAGACAGGTTTTATAATATTTCAAAATAAAATAAAAAATAAATTGGGGTAATTACCTAAACCCGACCTGGGAAAACACACACGCATATCAGGTTAGGGTTTAGAATTTGAATCCGAAAACTTAAGGGTTCTTTGGCATTGTTGTGGTTTTCTTTTTTTGGATTTTTTTGTTTTTCAAAACATATGATATATATCAAATAATGAATCACAAATAAGTCAACTGATTGAAATCATGATAACTTTAAAAACTGACAATAGAAAAGTGAAAATACCTTTTTCTTGTTCCTGTTATTGGTTTTGTTTTAAAAAAAACAAAAAACTGAAAACAAAAAACTATGCCAAACAATAAACAAGTTCGGGTTGGGGTAATTAACCTATCTAGAGCTTAACCGAACCCGAACCCAGCCAAATCTAACCTGATTACCTGATTGCCAGCCCTACATGATTTTCTCTTTCATCCTAGCCATATCATATTCATCATTTGGCCTTCTCTAAAAGCCCCATTCTGAGATGCCACATGAAATTTGAACCTTGTGGGGTCGTTTGGTTCGCAAAGTGGTATAGTGTTGGAATTAGGAATAACATCAGGCCATGAGGGTGATATGGGATTGAAACTTAATGCTAAATACCAAGTCTTTGGTTTTGTTCGGAAAAGAACATTTTTCTTTTATAATGAGCCATACTCACCTCGCCCTTTGGGTTTCTAAACCCCATACCTTGTGGGATTGAAAAATGGATTTGGAAATTGAAATTTTCTTAAACAAACATTAGAAATGGGTTTTCCTCATTCCAAGCCCATACTTTATGCCTACATTAATTGAACCAAACCCCCCTGAATACTCTAGAATCTAGAAATCTCGAGATTTACATGTTCCTAAGGTTTACAACAACAAATTTTGACAGCATAGAAAATAAAAATCCATGGCAATAAGGCCAATGACGTAGGAAAACCTTCCTCGGAAAGAAGAGCTATATAGTTATACTAGCATAAGACTAACAAAAGTAATTCTTACACAATATCAGACTTGATTTGCTGAAGCTCACTCTCTTTTGCAGACTCCCATGGCAAATGTATGCATTGCACCTGCACCAAATGATAGGAAAATTATTTCTATGTAGATTCACACTAGCCATTCCGGACGTGCTAGCAAATGGAATATATGTATATAATTACATAATCACATAATAATATGAACTATTATAACATACACGATCCATTAAATGTCAAAGCAGTGAGCATACGCATCAAACTAGATGGTTCAGTCTTTCTTTCCAACTCTATCCCTACCTTCTCTATCCATACGTTGGATGAAAACCCAGCAATTACACTTTTAAAGTATATATATTGGATGAAAGTTTATAGCAAAATTCACACAGAATACCTTCTAAAAATTAAGTTTATTCCACATCAAACAAAGGTCACTACTACATCTATTATCTATTAAAATCAAGGGAAAGAGTAAGGAGACCATCTTCCATCCCGTGACCAAACTTCCCATGGACCAAACTAGATTTTTCTGGCAATTGGTACATGTGATGAGTACAGGAACATAATTTGGACATCCATTTTGAAGCACCACGAATAGGAAAGGAGGAAAAGTATAGATAGAGGGATTAGTATTTACTTTACATGGTGCTGCAATGGGCAGAAGTAAATGCTATATACAGAAAATCCTAATTCATTCACATGTCACTTGAGGTCTTATGTGCCACATAGCACAATGAGTCAATGACGCAGCACAGTTGTACAAATAGAGCACAATTGAAAGATTAAAGAAGCAACCTCACAAGCATGGAAATATGAACCTAATTAGCTCTAAAGGTGGATTCGAAGATATAAATAGTAAAGGCAAAGAAGCCAATTCAAACACCTGGAGCATTAAGGCTTAAAGAGAGTGCTTATCAACATCAGATTTTGCTGCCTTAAATAGATCATTATAACTTACCATATATGAGCTATCTGTACTTTTATCTAAAGAAGCTTCTGGATTTTCAATCTTATTCATTTCCAAGTTAATCTTCAAATTTGCTAAACTTGATGCATCACCATCTGACAAGATAACCTGCATAAAAAACACAAAATCAAGAATCAAATACTCAGAAAATATGAAACTGCAATCTCTGCTGAAAAAAGCTTAGGATGGAAAGAATCGACATCTGGGGAAAAGCAGGATCAAAAGAACAACACTGGCAACAAGTCATCCTCAAAAACAGAAAGACAAAGAATGGGCTACATAACTAGAAAGTTCCACATCATAAGAAACATACATGAAATGACGAAGATTACAAAATGGGGTGCTAAATCATAGGTCAGGCAGATGAAACAGAGGAAACGCTGAACACATTGAGAAATTGGGGGATAGTAGATAGACGAGAGAGAAAGACAATAGACATATGTGGTGCAATTTTAAAACAGGGAGAAAAAAATGAGGTGTCAAATCCTTTATGGTTTATACTAAGGGATTTAGATGTTTACCATTTTAGGTGGCTTGGCCACTAGTTCTTATAGGCATATAGATATACTCTCCAGGAGTTACAATTTAAATATTGAAATTCAGAAACATTTCTAACACAGCAACAAACGTCGAATAACTATTCTGTTCTAGCCGTTAGGGCAGAGTATTAACCCAAAACCTAGCCAGGCTAAACCCACAGAATGATTTAATCTACCAATTAGAAGAAGGTTTCATCAACTTGAGTGTCACTCCTCCCTGTCCAAGATATGAAAAGGTAAATTTATATTGAAAGAGCATACCTCGTGAACGTAAAAACTACGACGGTAAAACAGTTATCACAATCTATTAGATACATAGAACAATTCAAGATTTTCTTCTTATTATGAAGGAAATATAACATAACGAACCTGCGAGGCGTTAACATGATTAAGGCAGACACCAAGCAGACCTACACCTGAACCAACCTGTTTCACATGCAACAAACAAAAGAGCATAATTATTATCAGAATTAACACAATCACGATCTTGGATCATCAAATTGCAGTGCAGTATAAATGCATGATTATTTACTCATATAATATAGTTCCACAAGCCAAGTTATGATCATTTGACAAAAGCAAGTCAAGAATGAGATACTACTGCTACTTATAGCAGCTTGATTTCCTAGCTAATCACCAAGTTATTCACAGGATGATCAGCCATATTATTATATGCAGTTACATATAAACTTCTTTAAAAGAAATGTATTATGGCAAATACTTCACCTCAAAACATGATTTTCTCGTAAAAACTTCAGGGAATGAAAGAACAAACTCTGACAGAAAAAGACAAGAAGGCCAAAGAGCACACCTACACATTATTTACATAGTTAGCATGACTGTTCAAAGCAAGTAAATTAAATATGTGACTAGACTTTCAGTGCAAAAGGGAAAAATCTGAGCAAGACCAAACTAAATTAGAACCACCAAAAGACGAAGCTAACAAAACCATATGCTGAAGACAACAAATCTTAGCTTCTGACAATTCCTTGAGAAAATTTTCTTTTCTAATTTTTGAAAACCATGATAAGATAAATACAATATTCAGATTATCATTAAATTCTGAGCCTGGAACAATGCTTGATAAAAGAGTAATATACCTATTGTAGTATTGTTGCGTTAAAAGGAAGACCAACATTACAGCACAAAGGAAAAAAAAAATCAATTAATTTCATAATTTTTATTCGGTTAAGTGATCATAATAGGGCAAAAAATTCTAAAAATAATATATTGATAAAAAAACTTACCCAGTGTCCCCTTGAAGCATGTTAAGAGAACATTGTAGTGGCACAACCATCTGCATTTCACCAGGGTAACTAGGAACTTAAAAACATATCAACAAAAAGAAGTGAAAGCGTTAGCCAGACAGTAGCTCCACTAAAAACCCTAATGTTTGACAACAATATAAATGGAAGTAATGGTTTAAAATTGCTTACTGTCATGAAAAATAAATGATATGCATTTCACAATCCATGCTTTTTCTGATGCGTCTTCCTACGGTTTTAAATCAGAAGTACAACAAAACAATGCATATGAGTATATGATAAATGAGAACACCAACTCAAGGGCTTCCATGCAAAAGCAATATTGCCTAACCAAAACTGACCTTCAAAGAAACCATGTAGTGAGCATAACGTTCATAAAATTCATCCAACACATTGCTGCCAGTTAATTCAATTTCTTTAATGAGCTTCTTCAGAAATAGTTTCAAGTAAGGTACATGAAGGTTCTCATCCTGCAACAATACAAAGCCAAATATAATTATTTACCAAAGGAAAACCTCCAACCACTGTACAACAATATAATTCTAAGTTTACTCAGGTCCACTAGTTAAACAATACACATTTTTAGTGGATAAACCTTGCATATATAAGAGAGCTATTGGCCCATTACCATCCATTACCGCTTGAGGAGGGGTATTGGTGGTAATGAATATTCATGAAGAAAAACACAAGTTTGGGATGATCATTCATAACTTCCCTCCCTCCACAATAGGCAGAATCCAATTGGGGTCATACATAAATTACAGGTAAATGAGTAAAATGACACTATCAAGATTCTATTAAAAAAAAAAAAAAAAAAAAAAAACCCTTACAAATTTGTTGATGCAATAATCCCAAATGAATTGTTGCACTTCCTCTGAAATGAAGCCACCCCCACATCTCCTGTAAATACATAAAAATGGGGAATTTATTAGAATAAAATATTAGTAACAAGTAATTTGCAACACTATTAAGAAGTATGGTGAAATGGATTATTTTTTCTTTAAAAAAAATAAAATTAAATTTTACCTTGCTAAAGAAATTAAAGAATCGGATGGTTCCATAGCAAGAAAAGCTGAGACCAAATACAGCTTGTTAAGGTCCAAATTTCCCATGTCAAATTCCCAGTAATGGTTCGGCATGATTAATTTATTTGGAGAACGGGACACAGAAACGCAGCAATGGCCAATGGGGACTGGGGAGGTTTTGAGCCAATGGGTTTTGGGACTTTTGGGTAGAGAAGATATAAACCGGTGAGTTGTGAACTTGGGTGTTGAAGTGATAATTTGAAGTCATTTAAGTTTTGGTCAATTTATGGTTTGTTCAGCTCACCTTATTTTTGCTGGTCTGATGATCAATTGATTGGACTAAATTTTAAATTTATGTGTATACAATAATATACAAAGAAAAAAGATATCAAGTGGGGTATTTTTAGATTCTTAATAATGTGTACTTTAATAAGATGTATACCCTCCATTTCGTAATAATTGCAACACTTTTTTTTATGTCATTTTCAACACTTGCTAATTTGGTAAAGACCCACTATTATTTTATTTATTATCTCTCATATTAACCCCACTTTTACAAATATTTAATCACTAGTTTAGTTCCCGTGAGATGCACAGTTTTAAACAAACACATTGTGAGATTTGTTTAAAATTCGGAGAAAGAAAGTTTTCTATTCCGTAATTTTTTTGTATACCTGACAAGTAATTTCTACTGTATCATATAACTTGTAAAATATACAAAAATATAAAAAATTAAAAAAATTCACAATAAACACTTTCGAACATTGAAATTTTAACCTATACCTGTTAAAAAAGACTCGATAAGGAAAAAGGATAAGGCATATGAAAGGTTTATTAGATAATATATATATATATATATATATATATATATATATATATATATATATATATATATAAGAGAGTAAAAGTAAAAAGCCTACTCTATATTTCCTTAAACTATATGCACTCCTTACCGTTGCAATACCGTTGCAATTAATATGAAACGGAGGGATTAGTTTTCATTTTATTTTCACTACGAACTTAAAGATATATAGCGATAAAAAGTCGCACATAAAACGATGATCTAATCTGAACTGAACTTATTTTTTCTGATCTGAACTTATTTTTTCTTAAATAAATAAAAATAAGTTGAACTAAAAAGGCGTTTAACCCATTGGAGATGGTTTTGTGATAAGTCACCCAGGTGTACATATAAAATCATTGAATCTATCAGTTATTGGCTCTGTGAATTATTTGCTTATGCATCTAGGTGTACATATAAATTATTGGTTAGGTGAATTATTGTGATAATTATAACAATTATTGGTCTGTGATGATAATTATTATTCTTGTTATGAATTTATTGGTTAAGGTCTTGTTTTATATACCTTATTTTATAAATAAGATAAGTTTAGGAAACTAAGTTTGAGTAAGTTTAGATAAAATACGTTTGAGAAAAATAAGTTCTGATAAGGGTTATCGATCAAGTTTAATTTACAACTAAAATATTAATTCAAATATAAGTTTAGATAGGTAAAAATCAAGTGAATGAAAATCACCTTAGATTTAAATTTTAAAGGACAAAAACTAATACCAACAAGTATAACCGTTAAATCAAAAGAACATAAACCCTATGGGTTAAAACAAAGTAAAACAAACCCCAAAAGAAACCAAAAACATATACCGAGTAATTTAAAACAAATCCAATCTGAACACGTGCAACAAAAAATTATTAAACCTTATTAAAGAACACAAAATCATAATAACATATGGGAGTAATCCATATTCAAATTAACATGCCCCATATTACAAAGAATACAGAGTATAAATTAATGAGCCTATATAATTCAAACCCATAATTTGTTGTTTAATGAGCCTATATAATTCAAACCCATAATTTGTTGTTTTGACAAGGTGCACCATTTAATTTGTGTAATTTAAGTTCTATATTTTTAAAAGACTTTAGACAACTCTACATTTAACTTTTTGTAAATAACTATCAAAGGAAATAAAGTTCGAAAAACAACTCAAAACCCTTAAATTAAAGGGTATGCAATCAATAAAGGAGAAAAAAAAGAAAAAAAAAAAGGAGAGAAAATAGAGTAAAACCCCTAAATTAATCATTGTATGTAGTTTGTCTAAAAAAAAAATAATAAAAATCATAGACACTACTTCCATTACATATTTTGAAACAGAGGGTAGTAGAACAACAATTTTTGAAAAGAAAGCCTTGAATACTCTTCTTTTTACCAAAAAGTAAAATTGCGTTCAGATTTAAATATCACGCTTTACTAAACTAGTTGATGATTTTTGTTTGATGACAACTAATTATCCACCATCTCAGCTAATTGGTTGTTGGTATAATGGGCTGCATTTTGATAGGGAGGGACGAGAGGTGACTGGAATCTAACCGCTCATAATTGAATTCGAATTTGGATTAGCCACAGGTGAATCGGGTGGAAAAAAAATAAAACCGCCATCTCAAATCTCCCGCCAACACTACAAAATCTTTCCATCAACATTTCAATCCAAATTATCTCCCTTCTTCCAGTATACTCTCCTCTCTGCCCTCTCCCTATCTTTTAAGTCTCAATCAAAACCTTCAGAAATTCTGCAAGTTTATCATCCAGTATAATTCTACTCTGTGTAAATTTTTCTTAATTTTCTGTTTCATCGTTTGATCAATTCGTAGTTTACACTACAAAAAATCGACGATCGTTAAATTTCAGGCTGAATTGCTATTATTCAATTTTAGGTTTGAATTTCATCTTCAATTTCTGGTTCTTATGTTTAATTGAAGATGTCGAAGGTCATAGTTTGCGCTCGATTCAGGCCTTTGAGTTCTGGCGAGATCAGAGATCACGGCAATGGCGTTAGTATTCATCGTATTGATGATGAATCATTCAATTTCAAGGTAATTATCTCATACATTTCAGAAATTTCGGAAAATTTTAAAAATCTTCGAATATTTTGATTTTTCGCTGATTTTGAATGTATTTTACTTGGAATTGAAGGATGAGAAAGACGGAGATTTAAAATTCGGTTTCGACAAAGTGTTCTATGAAGATTCTGCTCAAGCTAGTGTTTATGAAGTTTTAGCTATGCCGATTGTTCAAGGTGATCAATATTTGAATTATTTGAAGTATGAATGAAATTTAGGTTTGCGTTTGTTAATTATAAGGAAAATTAAGGAGGATCATTGCATAGGGTTAGAAACTTATCTCTTTGATCGAAAACCGGAAACCGGAAAATGAGCAATCAATTTTTTGGTTAGGAGAAATATATTGTCGAACTGTGTTTCAATATCAGAAATAAGAGGTTGATACTAAACGACTTATTCTGATAATTTGATTCAATTTTCTCTTGGAAATTGTACGCGAAGTTTTTCCTTATTCTGAAATTTCTCTAGTGTAATTAGTCTTTTGTAGTAGTTCATTCACTTCATTGAGTTTAGCGCGAAAGAAACAGAGTGAAATTCACTCTACCTGCATATGTTTACTGATTGCCGTCCTTTTTGGAAATTGCAAATTGTATTTGGTTTGTTTCTTTAATTGCTTGAGTACAGAAGAAGGAAAAAAATATATGTAAAAACCGTGTGCTAATCAGGTTTAATGTTGTTTTCAAATGCTATGAAAACATCACAGATACTGTTAATGGACTAAATGGTACAATCCTCTCTTATGGCCAGGTAACTTTCGTTTGCTTGGTTGCTTTTGCTGCTTCTCTCCCATTGCTACACCATTCTGAATGGAGTGTAGCTGACAAATATATATAGATAATAAACATCATTTTTTTTTCCTGTTGCTTGTGTTTATATCTGCTGTATTTGGATTACTAGGAATAGTAACCGTGTGATTTTGCTTTCTTTCCTTCTGTAGCTATGCTTGCCACTCCAAAAATTTTATGGCACAGTACTTTCAGCCGTTGGAGATGCTCTAATAGCTTTGATAATGGTGGAAATTGTGTCCTAAAGTCTGAAATACATGACTAGGACAACGCACATGCTGTTTTTATATTTGATTGAAAGATATTTCGAGTTATCTCTCAAATAAACTCTAAAGCAATCCTAAATTCCTAATGCTTTTGAATTAAAAATTATTATTTACCCTGCATGAAGAACTAGAGGTTAGATGCAAGAGCAATCTGTGTTTTAGTACTTTTAGGAATCTTCTTCATGGAAGCTTATAATTGATTTTCAAGTTCTAACCAACTTAAACTACTTTTGCTTATGTGGTCACAGACTGGAGCTGGCAAGACGTATAGCATGGAGGTGAAAAGATTTTTCTTTTCAAATTGGTACTAGTATATGGTTATAAAATAGTCAGGTGCTTACCAAAGAATCTTCATGCCAGGGACCTGGAATCATCAAGTGTGACGCTGAAAGGAAAGGTCTGATCCCAAGAGTTATAGAAGGACTCTTTGAGATGATCAATTCTTCAGAAGGAGCGACTGCATATTCAGTTAAATTGTCAATGGTAAAGTCTTACTTTGCTCATGTAGTTGAATTTCATCTGATTATGCCCCCCTCCCCCGGCTCTTCTTAGTTCTTATGGGGCTTACGCATTTTCAAACTGCTGCAGGTTGAGATTTACATGGAAAAAGTGAGGTTGGTATCAATTGACGGTCAGATTCCTTAGTGAAGTAAAAGTGATTACATTTTTAGTGGAAGAGCCAGATTATTATGCATTACTTTTTCTGACTCAGTGACTCTTTACCAAGATATATGATAAATAGGTGTGATCCTTCTTTGCAGGGACTTGTTTGATTTGTCAAAGGATAACATACAGATTAAGGAGAGCAAATCTCTAGGAATTCTTCTGTCTGGAGCCACAGAGGTGAGTTTACTTTTTACTTATCCTTGACTTTACCCTGTGATTCCTGCCAAAAGTACTAATAGGAATTTATCAACTGGAGACATCGGCTTGTTTTGTTGTTTTGGAGTCCTTTGCCAATTATGTGAAGATCAACTTGTGTTACAAATATGAAATGACTGCAATGGTTTACACAATCTTTTATACTTGTGAACAAGTATCATCCTATGGGCTGGAAGATTTTTCTTGATACTAATAGCATTTGCCATATATGTTAAGGTCATCCTTTGCCAATCATGTTAAGTTCAATATGTTGCCCAGTGAAAATTGTGCACTGCCCAGTGAAAATTGTGCTGAACTTGGAATGCATAATTATGGCTTTCTCTCCTGCTTATTGATCATTTATGGCATGCTCACATCAGTCTACAATTGACTTCAACATTTTCAGATTCCTGTGTTGGAAGCTTCTGAAGCAATGCAAATTCTATCTGTAAGTTGAGAATGGCTATGGATGTTTCTAAGTTCTATTCGCGCTTTAGCTTCTGACAGCGGGCTCTTAAAAATGCAGAATGGAATTGTGAATAGAGCAGTTGGGGAGACCCGTGAGCATCCTTTCTCCATGACTGTCAAATCTTTGACACACTATATATCAGTACATACAAAGATATAAAATCTTGATGCTTCTGTTTTTCAATCTTGGTGTCAGAGATGAATGTTGCTAGTAGCAGAAGTCATTGTGTCTATATATTCACGGTTCAGCAAGATATTTCTGCTGATAAGAGGTACTTTCTTATTCCTATTGTCTGTATTTGAGATTTGTACAAATTGCAGATCTGAAATTTGTTTACAGGACTAAAACGGGGAAACTTATTCTCGTGGACTTGGCTGGCTCTGAAAAAGTGGGAAAAACTGGAGCAGAAGGTAGACTTCTGGAAGAGGCAAAGACAATTAACAAGTCCCTTTCTGCCCTGGGAAATGTTGTAAATGCATTGACATGTAGCCCACTGAGCAAGTTGACCCACATCCCTTATCGTGATTCGAAGCTTACTCGAATACTACAAGATGCACTGGTTAGATTTTTTTTCTTCTTCTGTCCTTGTGCTGGATTTGTGAAAATTTCTGTATCTTGAAATTCTAAATCTCATATTGCAGGGTGGCAGTTGCCGAATGGCTTTGCTGTGCTGTTGTTCCCAAAGTCTTTCAAATGCACCGGAGACTCTATCCACCCTTCGTTTTGGTGCAAGGTTGCCTAATTTCAACTCAGAAAAATGCAACTCATTATGCATGTGTGTGTGTGTGGGGGGGGGGGGGGGGGTAAGGAGTTGTATATCTTAAGTCTGTCTAATTTAGAGATATTTTTTTACCGACAAAGGATTAAATTGAAAAACTCTAAATGAGTGATGAGATCTCTCTTCAATTTAAATATTATCAAATCTTAAATACTGTTTAATGCTTGAAAACTATGTTTGTGCTAATGATGCTCTATGAACATGATGAGTGAGACCTTTTCTTGGGTATGACTTGTATTCATTTAGGTAATTGGCATGAAAAATCATTGATCATATTTTCACCTTTTCCCGGGGTCAGTTTTAGTTGTCCTTGCCTCAAATCAGTTTTAGTTGTTCTCTCTTCACTTTCTTGGATGTTGGTACAGAAGGCCAGAAGTGAATCAACATTCACCTTCAATACTTAAAAATCTAAACTGAGCATTCTCTTTTAAGTGCTGAATTTGCTCATGTGAGCAACTTTTCATAATAAGTCTACTGAAGATTGGTGACCTTTTGTCCTTTTAATGGCCAGGGCACAACATATAAAAGCAGCACCTTGTGTTATCCCATGCGAAGATAAAATCAGCAAGACACAAGAATATAATGTTCTAAACAAAGATGTGGCATGCGAGAGAATTTTGGACATGGTATGCTTGCTTAATTGTTTGTTTGTATATGCTTAACTGGTTTGCTCTACCCTGAGGGGATAAAAATCATGTTTGCTCAGGAATATTTGTTTCTTCCTGTTATAGCTGAAAGACAGAATGGGCATTGAGGAATTGGAGATGCTAAGAGAGCTGCTAATCTTAGAGGGAATTATGTACCGCCCGAGTTCAATGGAAGACTTGATATCGGAATGTGAAACTGTCGGGTCAACTCTTATGTCATCCTTGGGGATAACAGTAGAGCTTGTTTCCACAGTGGAGGAGGTACAAACAATTTTATGCCGCTATTAATATGAAGTTATGCAATCTCTTTGCTTTTCTACTTCATTTTTTCCTGTAATGATTAGAGGGGTAACTGCAATACACGGACAACTTGCTTAGTGCTTACGCTTGGAATCCCTTTAAGATGCTGAACTAAACTGTGAGTAGAAGATAAAGAAGTAGCAGAAGTGCATCTCCATACTCTCCAAAGAGTCCATTCTATGTACATTCTTACCACAACCTTGATATTATTTCTCCCCAAGTTCCCCTTCAGGCATTTTGCTTACAAATACTTCCATTACCCCTTCTTTAGAATTCAGACACGGTTGCAACTTACAAGCAAATTACTTAGATTTTGAATTCTTCTACTTTGCATGGGTTTAGAGGGTAGACCCAGTTCCCACCCTTCCCGAAGAGCAATTTTCAGTCAATCAAACCAAAAGTAGCTCTATTCTTGGAGGCTTGGAGCAGTTGGCAGTATTTGTCAACTTTATATTTAAAAACTCCAAACTAAATTATAAGGTGAAAGTAAATCTTGTTGCTGCAATGATGTAATCCTCTACCCTCTTTGAAAATCCCCTAGGCACTCCCTTTATACTAGTCATTATAGAATGGAGATTTGAAACCGTCAGATAGACAAAATATGGCAGGAGACTTGAACCTTTGAAATATGGTCGCAACTAATGCCCAGTCTAATGAATGATACTATGGTAGGCATTCTTGTAATGAAATATCATTATTGCTTTAGGTGACCCATTCTTTCTTGCTAAGAAAGCACAAAATTTAGCCATCCAACCCTAGTGACTTAAATGTGAGGTAAAAAAGATTAGTTGATATCATTATTATAAGAAACAGGAGAAAGCACACTCAAGTAGTATCATTCTTGTGAAAGGAGAGTATCCATGACCTCTCTTTGAATATTTACACCCTGGTTGCTCTAATAAAATGCAGAATTTATCACAGATAACCTGTTCATCAAAAAGTCACCTGCATTTATTTATTTATAAAATGAGGGCATGAGCAGCTATAAAGCAACTGTATTCTCTCTTATTTTTTATAGATCCATTTCCTTTACAAGTTTCTTTTCAATCCTTCATATTGAGTTGGGGGGGGGGGCGGAATGTGGTGAAATCCTTGGGAGTTATGATGACATGCATGGCACTGAACACAGCAGATGCACACATACTGCGTTTTTCATAGCTGCCGCTAATTATATTTTATTTTTTTATTTTATGAAGCTAACTTCATAAGCAATGCAAAATTTTGATAAAAAGAAAAACTAGCTTTATTAAGCTAACAATCTTTTCATCTTATCAACATTATGTTATTCATTTTCTGAAATATAGTATAAACAGTAGTTGTGTTTTGTGTGTCTTTTGACGAGCAATGTGCCTAGCAGCTACTGAAGCAGAACAACATTCTCAAGGACAAGCTAGCAGCTGCAGAAAATAGAAGCTTTTTGGATAGAATATCATATGCCCTCGGCTTCTGCACTCTTTGGTGATATGCCCATATTTCGTCACTCAGACACGTATGTGAAGATTTTTATCATCAAATCAGTACAACGGGGCAGCAAATTCATTTAATTATAACTTACAAGTCTATAATCCTTCAGATATCTTCTGAATACTTTCTATTAATTTCTTATATCCATTAGCTTTATATCCTGATCCAGGTGTTAAAATTTCCTATCTAAACATGCTCAGCAACCTTGGCAACGTATATGAAGTGCCAAACTTGTCAGCAATCTCATCAGAAAGCAACGATTTTATACTTCTGTCTTCATAAATAAATACTCCAATGATTGTGGGAGCACCGGAGCAATGGCACTACACCAGATATTTGGTTCCTCGTATATATACATTACAGCACTATTAGCTAACAGGACCGAAGCAAAGTCTATAAGCCCAAAAAACTGGAATGCTGTGGAACTAAAGATTTCACTCAAAGTCGCATCATATATATACATGTAAATGTCTTCAACTCAATATTCTAAGCTTCCGGAGTTTACATTTGTGTAAAGTGAAAGAATACTATATCTTGAGGTATGTTATTTGTATTGTTTGTCACAGCCACATAAATGATAGCTTTGATATTGCTATTAGTAGAAGATATATAAAAATAACAGTTTGCTTCGTAGAAAATTGGAATGGTTAGTTTTTGCCCCACCTTCATCACCATTTGACTCCACTTAAGTGATTACTAAATTGCCCCTCCAAGTTAAGTCCTTATTCATTCCTTAAAGTTATACGTGTATAACAAAAGACTAATCCAAACTCATTAATTTTGTCATATTGAGCTAATTCTTAAATTTACAATTAACAGGAATAGAGAAACTATTTAGACAGCTACTTAATTGAATTTGTCGGAATAATTGGGAGTTCAAATGATGGTGCTTCTTTCCCTGTTCTTGTTATAGGAATTATTTAATGGTGAATTGGGAAAGTTGGATTATTTATCTTATAATATCCTAGCACATGAGAGTGAGGGATAACTCAAGTGGTTAGAGGTTTCCTCCCTTCCTCAGAAAACTATGAGATCGATTCTTACCCTCGCTCTTGTAGCTCTCTAAACACCAAAAAAAAAATATCCTAGCACATAACGTAGTTTATGACTTACTTCTTTCCTTTTTTAATAATTGCATGGCCTTATTTGGTTTTTGATAGTGGCATCAGTTTCCTATATTGTAAAGTCTTACCAGTTTATTTACTACCTCTGTTAAGTATTAGTTGCAACTTTGGGGTATTATTTGTGAGATATAAAATATTCCAAAGTTATAACTAATATTTAACGGAGGTAGTAATTATAATTTCTTAGCATATGCCCCACTTTTACATCATAATACTCGTACTATTTTTCATACTCCATTTGTCCCACTCTTACATTATACGAGTAATACATACTTTTCATATCTTATACATATGCTCTATGAAAATTACTTGTAAAATCAAATAATGCTATTGTGCAGGAACAGATAAGAGTATTATTGAGTTAGTCTAGACTCTAGGGTCTCCAACAATAACCAAAATAGAGTACTTATATATTTTCGGCTCAAGGACAGTAGACTTTTAATGTGTTGTACATGGGAACCGCTCTTTTAAACTTGTGCACTGTATAGGTTTCAGGAACTTTTGGTCACATGAAGCTTCTAAATAATCATTCGTATTTTTATAATTCAAAAAATTGACAAGAGGTTGTGTTTTGTGAGAGGTAAAACATTACAGATATTCAACATAAATAAGGCGACATTAGTGCTTATTTAGGGCGGAAATTAGTAATAAGACGGTGAATAACTATCCCAAATATAGTTTCTTCGTTGATATGAAAGTTATCAATCTCACAACGTATTAAAAGCTAACAGTTTCTAAGTAGTATTGCCAATTTATTAGAAAATATATTTGTGAAAGACTTTAAAAGTTGTATTTTAAAAATGGTATTAGTACACTAATGAGCTAAATTTCAGCATAATGACTTTTTACCATTATACCAAATGATCACACCAAGGGCAAATTTGGCATCAGGAAAAATAGGCAGGCCAATTCTGTTGGATTACTATGATTTAAAGCAAGCTTTTGTTTGGCCAAGATTGTCACCAACCAACTCTTATCTTTCCCTTTAGTTTCTCACTCTTTATTGTCTTCTAACTAACATCTTATAAAGTTTGTTCGGAGGCAACGCTAATGGAATCACATAGCTCATTGCACCAGCCATGGCAATCAAGAACTCATTTCTCCAATTTTTCCTCTTAACATCCATATTAACATCTTATGTCGAATCCATTGATTTCAACTACCCTGCAGTTTTCAACTTTGGTGATTCAAATTCGGATACAGGTGATCTTGTGGCTTCAGGCCTCGAGGGGATATCCGATCCCTACGGGCAGACTTACTTCAAGAAACCATCGGGGAGATACAGTGATGGTCGTTTGATCATAGATTTTCTCAGTAAGATTTTTTGTGTTTTTTTTTTTTTGTTAATTCTACATATCCTCTGTTTTTCTCTGTTTTCTCCATTGTGTTTTTAACCTTACTGTTTTGTATAATGTATTGTAGTGGATGATATGGACCTACCCTTTCTGAATGCCTATTTAGAATCCATTGGTGCACCTATTTTCAGAAGAGGTTGCAATTTTGCTACCGCAGGATCAACTATTCTTCCAGCTACTGCAACATCAGTTAGTCCCTTCTCATTTGGGGTTCAGGTGGCTCAGTTCCTCCGATTCAAAGATCGAGTTCAAGATATATCTAAAAGTATTCATTTTAGCCTTCCACAGAATAACACCACTACTTTTGGAATGTTTATTGGGGGGGGGGGGAGGTTTATGGGAGAATTTCTGATCTTATTTTCCTGTTCCTCACAGCTACAGGTAGGAAATATGACAAGTATATCCCAGCACAAGATTCCTTTGAGAAGGCTCTTTACATGTTTGATATAGGCCAGAACGATTTGGCGGGAGCATTTTATTCAAAGTCATTTGATCAAATTTTAGCCTCAATCCCGTACATTTTGCAAGAATTTGAAGCTGGCATGATGGTAAGCCCTAGAAGTGATTCAGAATCTAGAATTTGGAATTAGTTGTGTGTAATGTCTGACATAAACATTTAAAACAACTAATGTTGTTCAAATGTCCGTTTACCTTTCCAGAAATTGTATGATGAGGGGCAAGGTTCTTTTGGATTCACAATACTGGTCCCCTTGGGTGCCTGCCTCAGAACATAGCCAAATTTGGGACGGATCAATCAAAGCTAGATGTGTTAGGGTGTGTTAGTGCACACAACCAAGCAGCTCAGCTCTTCAATCTGCAACTACATGCTCTAAGCAAAAAGGTGCAGGGGCAATATCCAGATACAAATGTCACCTATGTTGATATATACTCAATAAAGATTAATCTTCTTTCAAACTATTCTAGATATGGTGAGTTTCAAATCACTCCCTATATTTCAGTTGTTCCTTCCATTTTGTCATGAAAATCCACTAAAATCCCTATTTGCAGGATTTGAACAACCGATCATGGCTTGCTGTGGATATGGCGGTGCACCACTAAATTATGACAGTCGGGTACCATGTGGGCAAACGAAAGTAATAAATGGCAACAATGTTACTGCTAAAGGATGCAGTGACAGCACAGAGTATATAAACTGGGATGGAATTCATTACACAGAAGCAGCAAACCAGTATGTAGCATCACAAATACTCACTGGAAAATATTCTGATCCACCTTTCTCTGACAAAATGCCCTTTCTGTTAAAGCTCAAGTTCTAAAACACACAATAATGTATACAGTATTACATTAGGCCCAAAAATAGTATAGTATGTAAAATCCAATTCATTCTTCCTGAATATATGTTTTTAAAATATTTCTCTCTTAAAATTACAATAATTCATTTCACAAGTGATATCCTTATAGAGGAGAGCAGGATTTTATTGCTGTTTAGGCATTGACATAAAGAACAAAAATTAATATTGCATTATCAATTTCTCATCGTATTAAAATTTCTTCTCATAGCCCTTAATTAAAAGTGCCTCATCAATTAGTAGTTTACAATGGTCAAGCAATTTTGTTATTCAATTATGTGTTTGTACATAAACTTTACAAAAATTTTAAAAAATATTTGAAGTTACCTTGGAGAATAATCCAAACACAACCTATTTTTTGGAAACATATGCGTAGTATTGTGCCATAGGGACAACGAACGCAATGACCAACAAACCTCCAACCACAAGACTGAATTGACCTCGTTTTTCATCTGTCTCCTCCTTGGACTTAAAGTTTGACTCTCTTTTGTTGTCCTTGAATGATGGGCCACCAGGGTCTGGAAGACCATCAATAGCAGCCACTAGCCGCTTGGCACTGCTATAAATGGCTTCATTGTATTTCTCTTCAGTTGCCAATACTGTAAGTACATTTTTCCATCATCAATACTTCACCTCAACAATTATAGTAAAACTCAAGATATACAAAACTTTGTTTAAACATTATAAACCTTTTACTTTGCACCCAAAAACAAATTTAAACTTTCTTACTACTAGGATTTTCTCATGAATTGTGCAGAATTAAATTGATCTTTTGTTAAAGATAATTCAAGTAAAGTCTGAGTAGCATCAAAAATGATGAATGAACTCCATTTAACCCCCTTAAACCAAAAGAAAGGACACGAGACAGAAAAAATGAAGGTTTTTTACCAGGAAGATTCTCTGACACGGTTGCATCAAGAATATTCTCACCAACAGCCTTGACAAATGAAGGTCCGCCGGTAACTGCCCCTTCCTTTTGGCTAGTGACAAGCACAACAATCCCTTTGTTATCGCCATCTTCAACCGTTGGGTACCATTTCTCCAAAACTTGGTCAGCATACTCAAAAGCATCAGCTTTGCTCTGGAAGAGAACAGTAGCAAACTCACTAATTAGTGTTAGGCTTTCTTACTCCACAGATGTTTTACAAATTCAAATCAATGATTAATGGTCTTTAGACTCTATACTGCAGAATAAACGACAAATATCATGAACTTCGTATCTGAATTCACACACCGACATCTCCCAACTAAAAGACCTTAATGTCTACATTGTACTTTTTTTTAAGACAATTACCTAGTCTTATCTCTACAGGCCAAGAGGGATCAGCAACATATTTACCTGCAATATTTCACTAAAAACTAAGGGAATTACTGATCGAAAACTCTAGCCAAATTTTAGATCATTGGATATCTACAGGAGTAAGAGCCTTATAGTCAATCAGAGCTAGAAACTAGAATGTGAGCAAAATAATCAAATGCCCTCTCATGATCCATGGATTGCAACTGATTTCTCTCATACTAGGGGGTAACACACAAATATGTAATATTGCTCTTATCTTTGTAGTAACTTTATTAGACCTACCTTATGGTAATGGGTTTCTATATAATCTTTACATCGTTTCACCTCATCTATCCACAGCAATGCATCACAGGGTCATACTCGGCATCGAATTTCATTACCAGCCATACTCACCTCATGTTGGTAACAACTAATAAGTTTAATAAGATCAATAACAATATCCCATATAACACAAGCTTGGAAGTGGGATGTGCTACCATGATCATGGCGCACGAGCTCCACATATATTACACACAAACTCATTACCATTCATTTAATCTTTATAACAAGTAAGGCATAACTGTACAAGGGTGATGCACATAAAATTCAAACTAAAACTTCATGACCCTTAAACACTAACATTAACAACCTTCATTAACATCGTCAAATTTGTGAACTATTCAAGCTCAGCTCGAAATTCCCAAGCACAAGTTGAGCTATATGGCAAGTTGAATTGTAAAATTTAAACTCGAAAAAGCCTATAATTCGGCTCTGATTTCGAATGCAAGTGTAATGAGCTGACCCAAGCTCGGTCTCAGCTCGCTCAATTAGCACCCCTTATGACATCCTAAGCAAGAATTCAAATTCAAAGACTGAAAAAACATGTGATCAAGTGAAACTTACAGTTAGTTTGCGAACAGTGATGAAATTAACACGGAAATTCTTCCTAGACTCTAAATCAGACAACAATCTCTTGAGATCAGACTTGGTAACACGGCTAAGAACACCTGCATCATCAACAACATATGATTCTTTTGGTGGAGCTTCATTTAAAACATCAAATTCAGAAGCATTAGCACCAGAAATTGGCAAAATGGGGAGAAATTAAGGGCTAAAGACAGAGCAAGAGCTGCTAATCCATGTTGAATGGGTGAAAACCAGTGATTGGGTACTGTAAAAGATGATGATTTTTGAGGTAAACAATTGGGTTTTTTAAGGGAACAAATTATGGGTTTTGTGAAGGGTAATGAAAGTGATCTGGGTTTTGAAGATGAAGGTTTTGGGTTGAGAAATGGAGAGAATGTGGGAGGAGAGAGAATGGTTTCCATTTGATAGAGGTTTATAGTTTTAGAGAGAGAAAACTCATGGAAGAACTGATGAAGGATAATTGGATAAAAGCAGAGATTTTTTTATTTTTTTATTTTTTTTTTTTCTGTTTTGGTTTGGAGAAGGTGGCTTCAAGAATTATGTGTGGTTTGCATTTTTCTTGATTTTGAATTGTTTGATTCCAAGTAACCACAAGATAAACGTCTATGGACCCATGAGGATGTGAGAGGGGTACTTCTGTCTATCTATGTCCTATACTCCTATGTAAGAGTTGGATTTAATAAATTTTTTATGGAATTAATTGACAACATTAGAGGTCTCTAAACTTTGCCCTTTGTGACGGTTAAATTCATTAACTTTTCAGTGTCTCAATTAGGTCCCTTAAAGTTAATAAAAATCTCTTAAAACAGATGCAATATAAAGATGAAAAAAAGGTAGAGCCAACTCCCTCCAAAATCTCTATAATTTAATAAAATGCTTACTCCCATAATGTTCATAAGAAATGATCTTTCTAGTGTTTGAACTCATGACCAACAATAATTAAGTTGAAAGTCTGACCATCTTAGCCAACTTTTAGTTATACTTTTATATTTAACACTTTTAATTATACTAGCAAAAATAAATTCCCATCCTACTTTATCATTTTATGTGCTCCTTTTATTGCTACTAGGGCAGCTAACGCGTGCATCTAGTTAGCCATAACCGGAAGTTCTTTTGGCCTTAAATCACATATTTTGTTATTGATATGTAAACAACTATGTTTTAGGGGTATAAATGTCTAAGGCAACTAACATTAATGAGAGAAAATAAATAAATATTTTTGAGGGTATAATTGTCCAAACACTATTTATTTTTTAAAAAAACTTGTACATATAATGTGGGTATATATGTAAATACATATTTTGAAGGGTATAATTGGCATCACACTATTCATAAAAGTAACTTTATACTTTTTATAAGATAGGAATATCTAACCTTGATGGGGGTGTTTATTTATATACTATTATGTTTTTATTTCCCATTAGTTATTATATTGTTTAATAATATGTATATTGCACTATGTAGATAAAATTTCAAATATTGCAATATGATAATTATAATAATAACCCAAAGTATCGCTCGAGCCACACACTAGTTTATTGTTTACCACGAGAGAAAATAAGATGAACAAAATAAAGTCGAAGCTTTTAAGGCGGGATTTGAGATTGTAAATTTGTAATTAATCAAACTTCCCTTTTTTTTTTTTTTTTTTTTTTTTTTTTTTGGAATAGAACCTCCCTTCCTTGATACCATCAAAACCACCAACATTTAGTGTACGTGAGTGGACAGTCATTGCCCTTAGTATTTCACCATTATTTTCCCTCTTGCCACCAATCACTAACACCTTGGCACCACCACCCTAACCGGCGACGACCACCACCACCCTCACTGACAACGACCACCACCACCATCCTGACCGACGATCCACCACGTTCCCTCACCGGAGGGAAGGTGGTGGATTTTTATTTCCGGCAACCACAGTAACCGGAGCCCAAAACCGATTAACCGTGGTTGCTAGAAATTAACCACACCTTTTCGCCAGCGAGGGAAGGTGGTGGGTCGTTATTGATGGGGAATGGGGATGTGGTGGGTCGTCGGTAGGTGGTGGTGGTCGTTGCCGGTCGAAAGGGGTGGTGGGTCGCCGATTCGCCGGGGAGGATAAGTGGTGGTGAAAATAGTAAGGGCATGGTTGTACATTCTCAAGTCACAACAAATGTTGGCGGTGGTGATATTTTTTATGGCGGTGTTGAGCAATGGACTTCTTTTGGTTAAGCAGTTACTAAAAAAAAAAAAAATTACAATCTGTTGGTTAAGCAGTTACTATAAACATTATCCCACATTATCTAAACACCATTCTCAGTGGCCATGGCTGCTATCTTCACACTCTCATGGCAGTTCTCCTTCCTTCCTCCCTCCACCACTCTCAATCAAAACCACCTCATACCCCTAAACCCATTTCTTCTCCATCATTTTCTCTCTCCTCCAACCCCAAAATTCAATCTTTAACCTCCAAAAAGAGGGATTTCATCTTCCAATCAATCTCTCTCTGCATTGCTTCATTAATCCTTGAAACCCCATCTGCCATTTCTGCAACTAAAGCTCCTCCTCCTTCCAAATCGATTCTTTCGGAAATTTTGAACACTAAATCATGGTTTCAGTTTTTTGGTGATGGGTTTTCCATTCGTGTTCCTCCCGAATTTCAGGACGTTATGGAGCCTGAGGTTTGGTTCTTTCTTTCATATAATAATTTGCTTGCTTTTGTTCTTATGTATTTGGTCTAAATTATGCTTAATTTTGTATAAAGAAGCAATTTGTTAGGGAAATTGAGGGAAGCCCAGATGATTTTGTGGTATCATTGTTGGTATTGGATAATGGGGTTTATACATTGTATTGGGGGATTGTTTGTTGTCTAAGTTGTGTTTGAGTGGATAAATTACTTAAATGGTTGGAGTTTATATGTGTGGCATGATGAGGAAGTCTATGGTAATATCCTATATTGATCAATCTCACATAGTCACACACACACATGAATAGTAAATTGATTAGTTGAGAACTAGAGGTTTTGAAATAGCGGTTTTAGTGTACAATGTGTATGAGATTGATCAATGTCGGATATTTAGCTAGGCTTCTGTATTAAGAGAGTACTTGAAAGGTTGAAATATATGATGTTCAGCAAGAGTAATTAAACCCAAGAAATGGAAATGGAAATGATGATAATGGGAATGTGAATGGAACATAGAATGTAAAGTGGTATCTTTGGATAGCTTGACATATGCAAAACCCAGAATTGTTATTTGGATAGGCATTGTATTTCGCATGCAGAAGGATCGGTGTAGAATGCTCTAGGATTAAGAAAGAAGAATTTGGTGTGATGAACTGAAATTAGAAGAGTGGTTGGTTGTACATTACTCAAACTACCTTGAGTCAGACACCTTCATGAGATAGGTATGAAATGGCTCTTGAACACTTTAAATGAGAGTAGTAACAGATAGAATTTCATATTTTTTTCCTTGCTTCATAGTTCATAGTCGTTATAATACCATATCTTTGTCCCACACTTTGAGTAAAACACAATAGAGACTAAATCTTATAACTCAAGTAAGCTTGTATGTTGGCTTGTACTTCGTATAATTCAAGGGCAATCTGTAACAATTGAGGTGCAAGAGGAGTGTCACCCTTAGAGCCTATTTGTTAAGTGGTGATATATGGTGATAATGAAATTGAATTATACATTTTGTGAGAAAATTTACATGTCCATTCTCATAATAATGCTAAGTTTACCTCAAATATCACATTGTCTTCACAAATTTTTATTACCATTTGGGAAAGAGTAGTGGGTGATAATGGAAATATTTGAAGAAAAAACATGAGTTCGGAAATGATATTGTATTACCACAGACATTATGATGCTACTTTCCTAGCATAATTACATTCAAATGTATTCCTACTGCCGTCATTTATTACCACCTACTAAATGGGCTGTTGATGTAAGACTTTTTTTTTTTTTTTGGTTGCCAGCTGTGTGACCGGAATGGCACATTTCATGTTAACGATTCTTTTGGCATCGTTTATGACTTTATCAGCTCGAACCTCTAAAAGTTTAATTTAAATTAAGTTTTCTACTTGTAATGATCACTTTTATGGACTTACTACACTCTTATTGTAGTGTAACTAAGGTTGTGTTTCTTTCAAGAAAGCGTATTGAACTACCATTTAATTTCAACCAAAGCATATTTCAAAGGAAATCAGGTTTCAACTTTCATTCTTTGGTTCCTTGATAGAAAAGTTAGCGAGAAAAAGAAAATGAAGGAGAGGAGATTGATGGGAAGAGAGAAAGTGGCATTTATTCAATTCTTCCTTACAAAAGGAAATGCTTTCTACCATTAGGAAACAATTTTCCACTCTTCACAAAACAAACAGAGGGTAATGGGAAAACCAATTATCCTTGAATATGCATTTTTTTTTTCAACCAAACACAGCCTAAGAGATCCACACTGATGATAATACACCACTATCAAGATTATGAGTGTCTGCTTAATAATATAAACTTTTATACAAGATACTTCCTCTGTTCAAAATTAGTTGACACGTTTTACTTTTGACACTGTTTATAAACATTACTTTGACTAACATTTGTGAATTATAAATATAGTCATGTAGGATCTTGTTAGATCCAATTTGTTGTGTACTTAATTAAAATTCAATTTTTAGTACTTTTTACAATAGTATAATTAAAGATATTATCGATTGAATCTATGCATTGACAAACGTGATAAAAGAAACGTGTCAACTAATTTGAAACGGAGGAAGCACTTTTTTTATCCCAAATGGAATATTTTGCTTATGAGCTAGCATAAGTGCATAAACCTTGTCTTTTTGTTTGCCTGGGATGACAAAGATAATCTTATGCAAAACTTTTATTGTCAACATTTCACAGAAGAAATCACCGCTGCATTTAATATGTAAGAATATGCTCTGTTGATTTTTATTGCATGTCTAGAACTATTGGGTATCACAAAGAAAATTTTGATCATGGGATAGTTGAGGTAATAATATACACTAGACTTTCTAATTGCTTAGGAAGATACACCTATTGGATAATATGACTTGGGAGTGTATTTATTTAGATAACTTGTGTAGAGTATGCTGTTGCAGTGATGACTGATAAGGCCATAAGCTTTTTGAAATATTGAGAATTTAGAGCCTTTTTATATAATTATGATGGAATACGCCACTTCATAACTTTGGTTGAACCAGTTACCTTCAATTTGACCATGTTGCAAACTGTTGGCATTTCCCTAAAGTTAGGTCTGTGGTGGGTTAATTAATTGTAGAGGTTTGATGATGGAAATTGAATCCTTATTTGACAATATCTTGTTTAGCTTTGTCCTTTAATGATGCATATCTTGGGAATGTGTTGGTTAAATCGCCGATGTGGTATTTGGAAATTAGTTTTGTACGCCTGTCCAAATCGGATAGATTTCTTATAGATCGTGTTCCTCGACTTCCACCTTATCCGAATGTGGTATTTAACGCTGGGTTGTCCCTCCAAATTGGATAGATTTCTTATATATTATGTTCCACTTTTTCCCTTTCAGGATTTTAATGCTGAGTTGTCCCTTTATGGAGATAAGGCAAAGCCAAAGACTTTTGCTGCACGGTTTGCCTCTTCTGACGGGTAAACATAGTGTCTTTTCTCCTCTTTACTGCTTTTGAGTTTTATTCACTACAAGATTCCACCTCTATATATTTAGTCTTTGTCCATTATATATGTTTCTCAGTTTTTGAGATACCAATAAGCTATTTTGGCATATAGCGTTGTCAGTTTTGCTATGTAATTGCAGTGAAGGGAAACAACAAAAATTTGCTTGATATTGGATTTAATTCTGTCATCGAGCTTTGAATACTAACTTCTTCTGCATTTATACAGGTCTGAGGTAGTTAGTGTAATTATCAAGCCATCCAACTCATTGAAAATTACATTCTTAGAGGTGTGTTTCTTGTTTTACTTCATTTACTTCACAGATTATCCAATATACTTGGTTATCTTAAGGAATTTGTTTGGTTGAAGTGTTATATTGCCTTTTGTTGATCTTCTGACTCTGGCTTCATACTTACGTTGTCGAGTATGCTACATTCATGCAATTCTGTCTGTTTCAAGTTCTGCAACTTAAGCATGATTTATTCATTAGAAGTTTTTGTTCTATGTTCATGTTATCAATTAACTCTGGACATCTATCTCTTCTAAGCTGCTATATACTACCAAATTAAGTTGCTGAAGCACCTATGGGGTCCTCTTTCTCTGTCTTTCCTCACGTGACCTGACCAATTTTACATTTAGCTTTTTTAGCACTCGCTAACCTCATTTGTAGTTACTATATTGAATCTTGTATCACCTGCTTTCTTTCCTACAGAATGTACTACTCTCTTGATAATCATTTTCTTACAGGCTCAGGACATTACTGATATAGGCTCTCTAAAAGAAGCAGCAAAGATTTTCATTCCTGGTATATGTATTACCATTCAGAGCCCCTCTCCCTCCTTTCTTAAAACAGAAATTGGGGAATAAGGTAGTCGAATATATTTTATACATGAAAGATATGCAACTATGCTATTTGACGCTGTTTTGCTGTGACTTGCTGGTCCACAGCTTCCTGATTTGTCTGCTATGACTTGATTGTTCTTTATCTTTTGTTTGGTGCCATGGCAGGTGGGTCATCACTGTATTCCGCACAAACTATTAAAATAAAAGAAGAGGATGGTTTCAGGTAAAGATCTATCAAATTGATATTTCTGTAAATGGTGCAAAAATAACATCCCTGTCTTTTCCTTTGTTGGCTATATGAAGAATAGGCTAGCACTTCTGAAAAGTAGTTTATTTTAAAATTTGGTGGTGGGATGTCAAAACAGAAAATATGTTATCTCGATGACTGTCATCTTGATTTATGTTGATTAGTTATGTTCTGTTAACTAATCGTCTCATTTTGGCGGGGGCATTTACCTGTCTATTAGTTCTATTTTATTTGTTGTTTTAGACAGTTTGATACAGAATATTATTTTAGCAGTATGAAGATAAATTTGACTCTTCCCAGAGTAACTGTTTGTCTCACGTTTGTTGTATCCCATGTTGCCCAGGACATACTATTTCTATGAGTTTGGCAGAGATGAACAACATGTTGCACTTGTAGCTGCTGTTAATGGAGGAAAGGTATTTTCTAGTCTACGTGTAGAATTATATATATTTAGTCTTTCAATACCAGTTAGGGAATGATAACACTCTATCTAGAAAAGTATTAGCATGGCAATTTTTAGTTACTGAAATAAAAGATGTACTCCCTTGATCTTACCGAAGTAGTCATCATATATACTATCTATAGTGTAGATCTTTTTATATTGTAGCCATTATATTAGCTTCCACAGTGTATAATGGGCATGCTTCTTGCAATCATATGGTGGACTGAAAGGATTCCAGTTTTTTTAACTTCACAACATGATGTTTCATGTTCGCATGATTGGTGCAGGCATTTGTTGCTGGAGCGACTGCCCCACAGTCTAAGTGGGATAGCGATGGTGTAAAACTTCGCAGTGCTGCCTTGTCTCTGACGCTGTTGTAGTCCTACTTTGACGACTGAGTTTAGCTTTGTCCATTATTATTTTAAGGTTGGATTAGTTACATTATGCTTGAAAGTCAGTTCCTTTTGTTCCCCTCCTTGGTGATACAGTAGGTCTACCTATGATCTGGGCAATGTGGACATATTGTAATTGTACATCATATTCAAAACATCATTGTTTAGCTGTTTGCACGTCTTGTTCAATTATGTTTTAGAAATTCTGTTACAGGCAACATACAGTTAGAGGCTCATGGATCATAATTACTCTATTGTGCATAATTGCATGTTCTTTACATTTGTATCCGCGTGCAAGATTTTACATGCACTTGGATGAAGAGACTCGTTGGTCCTGGATTGATGTATTAGTAATATTCTATGTATTTTAATCGAAAAATTTTCTTCTAATTTTGTTTGGGAAAATTCAAATCATCTACAAGTAGATTATACTTCGTATACCCTAAATCCGGAGCAAAAGTCTGTTACCGGGGACTTTATTATTGTCACTCCTCTTTAGGTGCACGGTGTTGCATTGTCCAAAGCTACTGAACTACGTCAGACATCAGATTAGGACCTGAACTCCCGCTTCAGCTTCTTTTATATAAAATGCATGCCTTAATTTTTGGTGTGTATGTTTGGGCAAATTCTTAAAAAGGAATCTGCGCGATTTGCTAGGTTTGAGAAAGCATGTTAAAGATTAAAGAAATAAACATGTTATTGATAAGAAAAGTAATACTCATATGTGAAGAGAATAGTGTTAAGACAAATTGACTAATTGTCTAATTTGGATCCGGATTGATTAGTTGGAAATCTTGGGATCCTAGACTAAGAATGACTGTCAGAATTGCATTATTAAAGAACATTCAAATTAGCTAGATTGAAGGATTCATCACAAAGCAAAAGTAGTTTTTAATTGAATGTTGAATGAATATAATGGATAATGGTGATTGATATTAAGTTGTTGGAGGATTGGTATCGTTTTGGCAATGTTGACTAGGTTGATTGTCATCTTCACTAATTAAGAAACTTTAAATTAGTTGATTGACATCTTCTTGATCCGCTCCTCAAATCAAAGAATGTGCTTGTGCTTGTTGCCCAAGTATTTATTACGCATCAATAAAGGGTTCAATCTCAATTGACAAACTCATAATGGCGGCAAAATCAGAGTGACTTAAATATCTATATTGTCCATAATGTCAAGATAAGTTCGTCTATAAAGTCAAAATAAGTTCAGTTAGCAAAAGTAATTCCGCTTCAGCAAAAATAAGTTCTAATTTCGCCAATCAAGTGATTAGTTTCCTTGTATAATTATATAATATGATTCTTTCTTAATTGATGGACTTATTAAGGATGGTTTTAGTTATGGAAGATTCTTCCCTAAATTATTGTTAATCTTCCTTAATCTTTGTCTTGTTATTTTTAATTCTTTGTTTAGTGTGAGTATTACCTTACTTTTAAGAATTTCTTCTTCTTTCCTTTGCCTAATTGTTGACCTTTGCCTCATGTCTATGATAAAAAAAAATATTGTCCCAACAATATAGAGCATTGTAAAGGACAAAATGATGTAAACGGAATTCATAAACGACTGTATGCGGAGGTTTGTCGGCAATCTCGGCATAGTGAATCTTGGAGTAGCTTAGATACAATGCTATTATAATTCTTATTAAACTCATGTAATTAATTATCTTTTATGAAGTATTTCGTTAGTAGGAGTTTGTCGAAATCTATCCTATAAATTGAAAACTCTTCATATAACACAAAGCTCTCCATTAGAGTCACCTTCAATAACTTATGGTTTTGAAGTGTGAACAGAGGAGTTCTTTCGAAAATAGATGGTGTGGTTTGTAGACGTGTAATATTTGTATCCTTTTCATTGTTAAGGTTAGTAACCTATTTTATTTCCTATATTGTTCTTCATAGTCCAAGAATTGTTCTTGTTGAATGGTAAAAAAAAAGAATCGTTCTTGTTGAAATCATAATAGAACTATTATAGTTTATATGAAGTTAGAATTGTATATTAAAAATTATTTGAAACAAGTCGTGAAAACATTTTAATACAATAATACGGAGTAATGAATTTGTAGTATCTTACTGAAGTGATTAATTGTTTTTCCTTACATAAAAAAAAAAAAGAAAAAAAAAAACTTGTAGAAATAAAATATGGAACAGATCAACCAGAACTCCAGAAGGTAGACTTGAGTTGGAATTGTTTTTCATTACTAGTCCAAAATTTTGGTGCCATAATAAATTAATAATTAAAGGAGCAAAGAAGAGAAGAATGTATCCGATCCAATAAATATTAGAAAAAGAATTAGCAGAGATAGTACAGTATTAAAGAAAATTGTCAACGCAAGAAAAAAAAAAAGGCATATACACATCGTAGGCAAAGAAATCTTCAAAATTTCGAATTACTTTCTAGGTGTTGATAGGCATTAATTGAATGGCTTGTACTTCTTAGTGTTACACAAAGGACACTTTTATTAAGCTTTGGATTTATGATGTTTTAATTTGGCGTTTGCCCTTTAAATCCAACCATAAACTCTAGTTGTCCTTTAAGAATGACTCTCACAACTTATAATCCCTTATTTATTTATCTATTTATTTATTTACTAGTACGTGTCCCGGACGTTGTCCCGAATACCCATTTTAAAGAGTGTACCTATTTGTGGGCATGTTTTGTATTATTATTATAATTATAATTATCATAATAATAACAATAATAAAAATTTTATTATTAGTATTTATATATTTTTTTTTAAATGTTAGATACAAAAAGAGAGTAGTAATACTATCTATTATTCTTTTTTTCACGTTTGTTATTATTTTCTGTTTTTGTAAGTTGATGTTTGTGAATTATACATAAATAAAAAAAAATTATATAATTAAGATATTGTTTATCAAAGTTCTATGTCGACATAGGGCTAAATTTCAATGGGGCACTAAAATAATAGAGGGATGTATAATTTTGTGAAAAGAAGAGTGCGTCGGTAAAAAAAAGTAAAATAAATAAAAAGTTAAAATTAAAGTAATTATTTTGTTAACATGTAAAATCAACGGATTATATTGTTGGTTTAATTGGATCATTTGTAATACATGGCTGGTAAATGAGCTACGGAGGCTTTGTAAAACCCGTAAAGTTCTAAGACCTTGCTAACATTGATCTGATTTCACTTCAAGATTCCCTTGTATTGTGCCGTTTCTGTTGTGTCCTAATTTTAGTAGTTTTTGACTTCTTTAATTTCATTAACAAAATTACAAACATACACAAAAATACTACAACCGAATATGAAAAATGCTTGATTCAAAAGCTTTAATAATGGTAAATCAATGGTAGACTAAAAAAAATAATGATACACGACCATATTTATAATTATAATTATGTGGTTATTCGTATAAGAGTAAAATTCTAGTGTTAATTGGATATTCATATTAATTATAATATGTGGTGTGTTGCTATAAGTAAAATTCTATAGATAAATTTTTTTCAAAAGAATTATAAATTATTTTATGTATACTTTATTTTATATCCTAAACAAATGTATCTAATCTAATCTGGCATCTAATTTAATGTGGTGTGTTGCTATAAGTAAAATTCTATTGTCAATAAAAAGATAATTTTTTTTTGAAAAGAATTATAAATTATTTTTTGTATACTGTTTTTTATCCTAAACAAATCTATCCAATCTAATCTAATCACAATAATATCTATTTGTCGCCTATGTGACTCGACACTTGGCGAAAAACTGAAATGCCAAGTATCAATTCGTGACCTGGATGCATGACCGGCTTTATTTATTAGTGATATGATAAGATTTTTTTTTTTTTTTTTTTTTTTAAACATGTTTTTGTGAAATTAGATAAGACTTCGATTTATCGCTATAGTTTTTAATTGTTTTCAAGACGGAGTAATGTCTTATCAGTTATCAGATAATTTTAGATGAAATTAGAGAAATAGATTATAAATCGATCCAGTATTGTTATGCGATTAAAGAGACTAGTGATAATATTATATTCTAGCTTTAAATTCTATCACCAATTCACCACCCATATGTTTAAATAACATAACAACAAAAGTTATTCAATAATTTTGATGAAATTTTCATATCTATCAATTAAATCAACACAAATATTATATAACACGAGTCACACGACTATCTCTAAAACCAGGCAATGGCGCAATGCCAGGATTTATTTATAGATTACAAATTTCACAATAGAAGAATAAAAAAAACAGGATTCTATAAACAATTACTCCAATTAATTCTAGAAATAAGACTACAAACATCAAGATAAAGTTTATGCATTCACGATTGCTAAAAATAGTCAAACCCAAATGCCAATCTCCAATTTCCATCTCTATCTTGGACCCACCTTCATCCCAAACAACAAATTTATTTATTTTATTTTTCAATTTTTTTATCAATATTAAGCGCCAACTGTAACTTATCTTCTACATCATGTCTCATCATAATATTCTCGACACTTTTCCTCAACAACCAATAATCTTCCACCACCTGTCCTTCTCATGTTTCAATTTCAATTTATTTCATGTTAAAACCATATTCAATATCCAATCATGATTAGTCAAACTCTCAAATCAACTCAGAATTTGCCACGTGGGTTTGTTTAGCTGGCTTTCTATAAGCACGTAGCATAGAATCATTTCAATTGGGCCCAAAATTGATGTTTTTATGTTCCCTTTAATACAAGTCTAAAAGGAGTACAAATCACTTTTTTAAGTTGACAGTAAAGTAAATTTCTAGTCTTTTTATAGTAATTGTACACTAATTAAGCTCAAAGATTGGAACTTTATGAATTAATTTTTGCAGATATTATCTGCAATTTGAAGAAGAAGAAGAAAGATGTTTGGGGTGGAAAAGATATTGCATGAATCAACACCATTTGATACGAGTACAGTGATCTCGATTACCGTGTTCATCAGTTTAATTTGTTTGTGTATTATTATTGGTCATTTGCTTGAGGAAAATCGTTGGGCCAATGAATCAATCACCTCTCTTCTTCTGGTAATTTTTTATTTTATATTTTTTATTTGATACCCATTTGAAAGTTTTGATTTTTTTTGGTGGGTTTTGAGTGGAGTTTTTGCAAGCTTTGGAATTTAATTTTTGGGGTTTACTAGGTTAATTTTTGGTCAGTACCCTAAAATAGAAAATTACCCATTTGAAAATTTGAATGCTATTTTGCTGTTTTGGTGGTGTATTTAAGTAGGAATTTTGTATATTAATTTTTGGTTTTGATTAGGTTGGTTTTTGGTTAGTGCACAAAAATATAAAATTTGAGTTTGGGTGGTGAATTTACGTATTTCGGATATTGATTCTTGATTTTGTTGAGTTATTTTTGGAATAGAATTGATTAATTAGTTGTCATTTGCCAAATATTTCATCAATTGTGTTTTGGATCAATAATGTGATGATATTACGGAATAGCGAACTCACAATTGGTAAGGCTGCATATATTATATGATATGATCCCCATAGGGCCAGGACTACTAGGGTTTTTAATCTTATCAGTTAACATCAAATTTGGTCTTCCCAAAACTTGAATTATATTTATATGGCTCGTGATTACCAGGGATGTCAATAGAGTGGGACGGGTGTGGAGGATTGTAGGTCTGCCCAGCACTCGAATTACCTTAAGTCGGGTTGTGAATGTAATATGCTGTAGCACATATTTATCTTTTCACAATTTCACACTATTGATTGGAAAAGTTTTGAGTTTTTGATTGAGTTCTGTAATGAAGACCTTTACTTTACAATAATTATAAAAACACATGGAGACATTTGTATTTGTTCTTTATGATCTGAAAGTGAATAAGGCTCATCATCAACTCTGCATGTTATTGAAGTGTTGAATCATATCTGGGATTAGAATGGACCATGTGTTCGAATTTGTCACAATGGACAATGCACCAAAACATTTCTTAGGCATCTTTTGGCTGTTTAATGTGATTTGTGATGCAATTGAGTATTTAAAAGCAGTTGGCTGATTTTTCTGTATGAATTTTGTAGCCTGTTTGCATATATATATGTCGGATGCTCTGTGTTTTAGTTGTGTTCTTTGATCGACTTTGTTACTAAACTTAGGGTGTGGCGTCTGGAGGAGTTGTATTATTAATACGTAAAGGCCAGAACTCTCGCATTCTTGTGTTCAATGAAGAGCTGTTCTTCATTTACCTGTTGCCACCAATCATTTTCAATGCCGGGTAAGTTCTCCTTTCTGATTTGCATGGGTTAAGACTTCAAGACTAAAACTTGTGTCATGTACTACTTAAGCACTTTGATTCGATGCTTTTACTATGGTTTCACATCCTAATGCTTCATGTAGAGTGCTCTGTGCTTGAGTTAAAGACTATCATGTTGGATCATAACTTGGGTCCCCTTACATGATATCTTTGGAAGTAGGCAATTTAACTTGTATGCTGATACTATATGATTACAATGCGTGAAATTCTAGAAAAGAATCATTTTGTTACTGACTTTGGATATTTGCAGGTTTCAGGTTAAGAAAAAGCAGTTTTTCAAGAATTTCTCAACTATATTGTCGTTTGGGGTGGTGGGTACATTAATATCGTTCTGCCTTGTATCAGTAGGTAAGACAGCTGATTTCTCTGGCCACTGTTTGTCCGTTTCTGTCAAGTAGTTTTTTGCATCTCCTTGCCTAAGTTTATATGTATGAAATTAAAAATAATTTCAATAGACGCAGTGTGCTCCATAATTACTGATTGATATATTATAGCATACTGTCTATCACATTATGAAATTGCCATGGATTATGGAACTTTTTGCCGTCTATTTAATGCTTTATAGTAGAAGCAAAAAAATTTGAAATTTCATATACCAGATACGAGTCCATCCTTCGTATAAGATCCTGAAAACCACCTGTTTTAAAAAAAAAGGAAAAATGATAAATATAGCCAAAAAAGGGAAAATCAAGGATAGATCAACATTAATCACACCAATTTGCGCATGATTTTGTCATGAACTCCCAACTGTATTCCATTTTAGCAAGTCTATTTGAAATCATTACCCAAAAAATGTTTATATAAACCAGTTGATTTATAAGAAGATTAATAGCATTTGGTCAAACTTGCACAATGATTGTTGGGGTTTCACATCATATTGAAGATCTTGATTATTCTTGAATCTGTCTGGCCAATATTATAGGAAGTCATAGTGGATGTCCAACAGTTGATTCATATTATGTCAATTGTTAAGGGACATTGACACATGGATTAATGCAACCAACTTATGGAAATGTATATGTTTGCAAAGATATTTTATCTGAAACTCTTTTTTCATTTGAATCTTGTAGGTGTACAATTTCTGTTGAAGAAGATTGGTTTGACACAGCTCAGCGTTAATGACTATCTGGGTAATTCATTACAATATATCTAAGAGGTTTCCATTCTCTTCATATCCTAATCATACTCTAAATATAGCTTTATTTATCTGCAGCTCTTGGTGCCATATTATCTGCAACAGATTCTGTCTGTACCTTGCAGGTATGCATCTCAATGAAAGAGAAAGCGTGATTATTGATTCATAATCATGCTCTACTAACATATGATCTCTCTTGCATTTGGTAGGTCCTAAATCAGGATGACACACCCCTTCTTTACAGTGTTGTATTTGGAGAAGGAGTTGTAAATGATGCAACCTCCATTGTGCTCTTCAATGCAGTCCAATCACTTGATTTAAGCAACCTCAGTGCCATGACTGCCCTAGCATTGTTGGGGACCTTCTTGTACCTGTTTATCACCAGCACTCTTCTTGGTGTTCTTGTAAGTTTCAATTGTTGTAATTTAGGCTCATTTTAAAGTACCATACTCACCCGTCTCATTATCAAAGTCTTGCATGAGCTACTTGTTAAATTTGGTAGCTGACAAAGATGTTTTTTCCAATCCAAGATAAAAGTTGTTATGGCTAAATTTTCTTGATCTAAACCATATGCCGTTCTACAATACTATGCAACATTAATTGTCAAATTTTAATATTACTATTAGTGTTTAGCTCGGGCGATCAGGTCAATACGTTAAATATTCTTGTATTATAGTTTTCAACTTTTCATGTATTATATTTTTGTGTAGATGAATTTGACCCTTTTTTTGTGTACATCATAATCTTAAATACTTTTATTTTAAATTTAGTCTAAGAAAATAATTTGTTTTCTAGTCAATATCTAGCATGGAGTACTACTTAAGAAATAACAAATGTAAAAGTACAACGAAAACACTCTCATGGTTTACATTAACTATATATAAGAAGAATAACTAAGAAAAATTATTAGATAGCAAAGATGGTAATGGACCCAAGTTCAATTCTTAACATAATCATTTTTAATTGATGTGTACAATTCATATTAGGAATGCTTTTTAATATATAGTATAGATATAACACTATTGGTCAAGAGAGGGATGACACGTGGCGTATATCCTTGATTAGGAATGCTTTTTAATATATAGTATAGATATAACACTATTGGTCAAGAGAGTATTAAATGCTACTTTACATTACCTATGTACTTGAACTAAGCTTAACTGAATTATAATGTGCGCAAATTGTTAAAATGACTTAAATTTTGGACTAAAGGGAGCAAATCTTAGCACTTCTCTCATATATTCTGTTTCTTGGTGGTAAAGCTGTCACAGGCTGGGCCAACCATGCCTAGATGGTTCAAATACTTGGCAGTCCTGGAGACCTGGTTAAGCATAGTCTTGAATGGACCCACTCCTAGCCAACTGTGCCGCTGTGGGTTAATTTAGACCTCACTGAACCAAGCCAGGCTGATTATAGCCAGTCTTATAAGAATTTCAACTATAGTATTAAAGAAGTTTCATTTAATAGGTTTGGCTGATTTGGGTTAAAAAATTTCGAAATATATATATGTGAATCACCTACTTTGTGCTTAAAGCCTAACTGTATATTAGCCTGGCCTGAACTGTGTTGTTTGTGGAAACATCGAACAATGTTGAAACACAACTGGACACTCTCTCAACCTTGTTTTAATTGGACAAATCGAACATCCACTAGAGTCCTTTCTTAGTTTAATATAGAGCTATTGACCATCAATGCTCCAACAACAACATTTTCTCTTTGCAGTATTCTATGTTATTGTTTGTTATCTTACTTGTATTCTATGGATGCAGGTAGGGCTGTTGAGTGCTTTTATTATAAAGAAGCTCTACCTTTCAAGGTAATTCAATTGAAATTTATTATCTAATGTCAAAGTATTTACATGTTAGACTATGTTGAGTGTCCTCTATCATTTAAACTAAAGGTCTAAGTGTACCTTTGTTTTCGTGCGCACCCCCTCCCTCCCTCCCGTTTCAACAAGATAGGGCCTTAGGTGGATGGATTTTGTAGCTGTTTTAATTTAAACAATTTCTCTCAAGTTTAAATAACAAAGGACGGCTAGTTCTGTTTCTTATTAATCAAGGAACCATAATACTAGTTTTACTTGTTATCAAAAAGGAAATTTTTTCTCAAAATTATTAGAACTGCTTGTGCTTAAAGACAGATAACATAATTATTGACCTCTAAATATGTTGCTTAACATGGCCTATACAGCCGTATTCCGCTTAAGCTCAAATATTCCATTGGATACTGCGGACATGACAAGAAGCTTTTGTAAATGAATGCTTATTGCTGGATTATATAAAAGCTAAATGGATTACCTTTTTCTATACATTTAGCTTTTATATAATCTAGCAATAAATATTCATTTAAAGAAACTTCAACAATAAATACTATTCCGTATGTTGAATAAAAAAATATTGCAAGTTGAGCAAGAAAAAAAATAAGATAAGTCCATGTGCAAGCGACTAGAATTAAACCCATCACTTCAACTAATTGAACTATCAATTCTAAGTTATACATGCTTACATTTGTTGGATTTATTATATTATTATGGGGGCCTACTTTAGAAATCTAAAGCGCAGGGAGTTGGGCCTTGGGGGGTCAGGCCTCCACCAGCCCCTCCATTGGCTCCACCCCTGCAATTTTGTGTTGTTAGTTGTCAATAAAACAAATTTCATGTGAGTATTATGAATCTTTCCTGTGGTTCTGTCTAATAGGATTTGGTTCTCTTCTGATAAGAAGGGTGATGTATAAAGATAATGATAAGCTAAAAACTGTATATGCTTTCAGTTATATATTGTATGTGGTGGTGCACTGCACATCTCTTGTTTATTATTGCTTAAAATATGATTGTCATAAGTCCTTTGAATTTGGATAATGACATTGTATGATGGTGAAGTTTAAGTGGCAGTTTCCAAGGAAAACCAATGGCTCTAGGATCGTACTGGCGAAACCTAGGTAGCACAGTGTCATTTCATACCCTTATTTATTTTTGTACCTTTTGCTATAGTGCCCAAGTTTCATGGTACTCTTGCCTATTGGTGGCAAGAGTGCAAGTCGTGTGCAAAATTTGGTATTGCTCTACATGCTATCTAAGATGCTGTCAGTAGTCGATTTGATCTCATTTATAATAATACCTTTTTCTCAAATTTTGGCAGACATTCTACAGATCGTGAAATTGCGCTTATGATGCTTATGGCTTATTTGTCTTACATGATAGCTGAGGTAAAAACCATAAACGCAAGTCTGTAGTTGTTAAGAGTCTGACAAACTATGTATGTTACATTTATTGACTTATTCTTTTTCTTTTGCTCCTGCACCTGTGTTTAAAGTAATGCTCATAATTGCTGAATTTGTATACTAAAGTGACTAATTTTATCGCATTGGTATGTTAGAACAAGTCCACTCTAGCTGGTGACAGAGACATATTATAGAGGGTTTGTTGTGGATCTTTAAAATTATAAAGGTTACAACTGTTTTAAAATTTCCATGGATGAGGGATCTATGTAATCATTTCCGACCCTGGCTTTCCTTCACCAGTGAACTGGTTAGGTTCTATTAAGGATGCTCAGGGAACTAGATGATGAGCACATTGTACTTGGAGTCTTGGAGAGATCTGTATTAGCAAGACAGGTTATAAGAAACTGAGATAACTTTATCTTAGTTTCACCAGCATGCTGCAAGGCGAATTAGGCTATTCAGCTGGGATAGAACCGTCGAATATATTATAATTTTTTTTACTAGTGAGATATTGAGGGTTTGTTTTTAAGGAAAATAATTACTATAATCACTTTATATGTGTTGCTTTGCCAGAACTTTGTTTTTTTATGTGTTAACTAAATTGCATAAAATCCTGTATTATTATTAATATTATTACAGACAAAAAATCATTGATTTCTTTGTCTTGCAGCTTATGGATCTTAGCGGTATCTTGACAGTCTTCTTTTGTGGTGTTGTCATGTCACATTACACATGGCACAATGTATCAGAAAGCTCAAGAATAACCTCCAAGTAAGAAATTACAAATCTCTGGTCATATTGATCTTCATAATAGATACTCAAAGTTCATATTTTATAACCTCCTAAATGTAAAAGTTTGGTGGTCATCTGGTTTCTCTAGAATGTTTTATGCTTTGTATACTGTAGATATCAGTAACTCTCACTTACATTTGTGATACTGTAAGAGTTCCAGCAGTATGCATCGTCCAATTTTTGACATAGTAGGAGCACTCAAGCAATTTTACAGTGTGGGTTGAGGGATTTGGGAGAAAAGAAAAGAAGGGAAAAGGAGGGAGGAATTTTCTATTGTTCGGATAGTACATTAAGAGGGTGAGAGAAAAAAGAGGGGAGGGGAGGGATTGGAAGGAAATTGTGTCCTTTATTATTTAAAAAAATAATCTCTCCAATATTGGAGAGATTTGGAAAGAAAATGGTAACCATCCAGTCACATAAGTCTGCCTCTCCTCTTTCCCTTGCTTTCTATGTCTGACCCTCGTTACCCTCTCTCATTTCCTTTCCCCCGCTTCTTTGTCCACCCCTTTTTACTTTCTCTCTCCTATTCCCCTCTGCCTTTTTTTATCTCCTATTCTTTTATTGTTCTTAGATTTCCATCCCGTTCCCTCCTCATTTCCATCATCCAAACAATGGAATTACTTCTCTCCCTTCCCTTTATAATTTTCTATCCGAACACAGTGTTGAGAGTCCTGAAATATGTGCTTGGTAGTTGGTACTACTTAATGACATAAGATGCAATATGCACATTTAGGCTTTGTTTGGTTCAATGTTAGTAAAGGAAGGGAAGGGAAAAGAAGGGAAGGAAAAAGAAAGGAAGAGAAGGGAAAGGAAATAAACCATATTTTCCAATGTTTGGTTTGATGGAAAGATTGTGAAAGGAATCCAATGTTTGATATAATATTAGTCAAGGAAGGGAAGGTAAAACAAATTTTATAAAGGATTTCCAATCCCAAACTATACTCATACGTTAGCTTATGTCAAGGAGGATCTAACAAACAATAATATACTTATACATCCTCCAATATTATTCTAATGATAATCAAACCATTAATATGTACTAACTATACTCATACGTTAGTTTCACATCAATAATTGATAAATGACAAACAATTGTAGAAAATGAAATTCAAAAGCACTTTAATTATTATAAATCAAAGATTAAATGTAGTAGAGTCAAAATAAGCTAATACTTAAAACCATAACAAATGACATAATAAAAATAGAAGTAATCCTTCGTACTGTGACCAACTATACTAATGACCCATAATACTAATAACTAGAAATGACGACTAAAGTGTTTGATTATTGATAGATATAAATGGTAGTATGTTAATTAGAAACACCCTCCTCCTCCATCATTTGAATAAGAAAAGCCTTACGAATTCTTTGAGGACAACCAAAAAATTCTCTCACCCTTGTTTCATTAGCATTTAAAAATCTGTAAGCTTTAAATTGCTTGCTTTCTTCAACTCCCAAGTTCACAATTTCCTCAAATATTTCACACTTGAGTAAACCTGTGGACGAATTTGCTTCAAAATGGAATTACCTTCCCTTATTGCTTCTGAAACACTATCAAGTCCCTCCTTTAAAACTTGGATCTCATAGTCATCATCTGGACTTCCTTTTCTTTTCTTACCTTTAGATGAACTCTCACCCTTGCTCTCACTTTTGGAAGCACTTGAAGATCCTAATTTTTGCATCATTGGAGAATTATTACAACCAAAATCCTCTAGTGTTATATCATTTTGGCTTACTAGGTCATCGATAGTTTCAATGTTATTTGGTGGGGAATCTATTCCATTGTCACTCCTTTGACGTGCTCTCTCTTTTGCTGTTAGAGATCCTTCACCATTTGCCCTATCTTTTGCATAAAGGTCCATGAGTTTCTCGTAAAATGGAATAGGAGTAGTCATCCATTTTTTGGCATCAGGTTTAGTCTGTAATATGTAAATTAACACATTGTATTCATTAGTGAACATTACAAAATAATACAATGCTTAAATTTTATTTTAAAAAGAGTATAAATACCTCAATCAAGGCTTGCCATACTTCTCTGCTAAAAATAGCTTGCTCTCTAAATCCCATCCAAAGCCACTAGAATTCTTAAACATACCATGTGCATCATTAAATTTTTTTTACGAGCCTTTTGGGGATTCTGCAAATGCTCTTCTTAAGTAGTGGAAGCTTGAGCTTTTAATGCAATTCCTTGACCATGAAATCATAAGATGAAGAAGTCCACTGACCATTAATTCTATTACCAATCTGTTGTTGGTGAAGTAGTGAATCGATGAGAAGTGCATCCATGTTTTCGCTCCATTTGATTTGGACCCCTCTATTCTTTTTTGATGGTATTTCCATCTAGTTAACCTACACAATTCAATAAAATAACATACAAGTATGCATTTTGTAAATTTCCTATCATTTAAAAAATAGTTGGCATTGATAAGTTAAACTCCGTATAATAAAAAAAAAACACACATTAATATTCAAGTTTGATAATCCTTGTCATCTTATTATACGAGACAACAAACTAAAGTACATAGGCATTCCACATTTGAGCAGCTATATTATCACGAATAATTTTTCCTTTTTCGGTATCCTCATCTATTGCGTTGCGCCTAGGCCGTCTCCTACTATTTAAGAGCTCACGATCAACTTCAGCAATAAGCTCCTCATCAGGATCAGTGCTCACTAAAAAGTTATTTAATATACAACATGCTAAGAAGACATCTCTTTATGTATCAAAAGAGTAGTGTGGCTCAGTTAAACTTGCAATAATAGCAAATCTTTTTTTTAACACCCCAAATGCTCTCTTTATAGCATTGCGTAGTGACGCGTGCCGAAGATTAAAAAGTTCTTGTGCATTTTCTGGTGCACAAACAGAGTACTCTTTTAGGTGATAGCGTACACCCCTATAAAGGGTTAAGAGCACACCAAGACCCTCCCATCTCGGTAACACATAAGTAAACTTCAAATCAAATGTGCATGCAACCAAGACATTTTGAGTAGGCCAATTTTTTCTACCACAATACCTTGGTGCATTAGAATCAGAAATCTTGACACGGACATGTGTACCATCAATAACTCCTATACAATCCTGACATAAAAATTAAAGTTACACAACTTCATATCTTTATATGTACAATTATAATTAAAGTTACTTAAATCATATAGTTTACCTTAAAATATGGGTAAAATCTATTGTTGTTTATAATCTCCGAAGGAATAGATGTGCCATCAGGTTGTATAAGAAACTCATTCTCTAAAGAAATGATAGCTTCCATAACTCTATGAAAATATCTACTTATGGTCTCACCGGAACGACGGAAAAAAACTTGCAAAACGCAATTCCTTACATTATGAGCTGTGGCATAAATAAATATTGCAACTTGCTCTTCAACACTAGCATGACGTGTGTCATTTAATTGACCCCTTGTACGCAATAGGGTACATAAATGAGCAAAAGTCTCTAGTAGCATGCGTAAAAAATGACGACTTCTTCTGGAATTTATAAGAAATGTAAAAAGGTTTCCTCTTGCAATCTCTCGTGCAATAGTCTCTTCTCTAGATGACATCAATAACATAATACTAATAACATAATACTAAAACAGACACCAAGAATGACACGTGTCACTTCTAGGTGCTGTTTTTTTCCCTCCAAAACTTTTTTTCTTTGTTTTTTTTTTAATTCACTCCTAAAAAAAAAAAACACTTATTTTTATAATTGTGATTCACTTTCTTAAAAAAATTATTCACCAAATCATATAATTGTGATTCACTTCCTAAAAAAATATTCACATATTTTCCATATTTTTATTGTATAAAATATTATTCTATATCTTTTACTTTTTTCTTTTTTTGCGTGTTCTACCTGTTTCACCGTTTGGTCTAATCCGAATTCGGGGCTTAATTTTGGGTATAAATTAAGATTCAAACCTTTTCAATTTCATTTAAAAATACGAGGATTATTTTTTGGTAGATTTTGATTAACATTATAATTCGTTATAAAATTTTGTAAAAATCGTGCGTGGCACGAGACCTAATCTAGTATGGTTGTGAATCAAACTCCGTTTTGGATTATGTATGATCCATATGTAACTAAACAAATCATTTTGACAGTAGCAAATTGCCTCATTTTATCCCAAGTCATTACCAAAGAATCATATTCACTATTGTTAGCTTCTACATTTGGCTCATGATCCCATTAAAATCTTCTTCCATCTATGGCATAATATGCAACAAAATTACAGAAATCAATAACTATATACTAAAAGACACACCAGCCATGACATGTGTCATTTTCTGGTGTGTCCTTAGATACAATATTTTTTTTCTTTTATTTTCTTGAAGAAAATCTTTTAGTGAGGTAAAAAAAGTTGACTAAAATGTAAATAACTTTAATTGTAACAAAATAATTATTATCTAGATTTTTAATTATAGAAAAAATAAAATACAATAACTTCTTTAGGAAGGAAAAATATCATATACTTGGTAGATTATCAACAAAAGATTTTTATTACTTATTTTTGTTAAGTAAATTACCTTGATAACCAATATTTACGTAAGAACATCAATCAATAACTATATAATTTATTGATTGATAACTATTAGTTATTATATAAAATATTAACAAAATATAATTTAAAATATATTGATATCTAATTAGAGTTCATCTCATGAGAAAAGTTGAATAAGAAATAATATGTTATAATATTATTTTAGGTTGCACAGTTTTGGATGAAATAATAGAGTGATTTTAATAGTGTGTGCAAAGAAAATTTATTCGTAAGGTTAGTACATAACTTTAAAATTTTACATTTAGTTAACAAGAAAAATAACACTTTAACAATAACACACCGAAATACATAAAATAACCATATGCTCAATGCTTAAACTTTAAAGTACATATTTAGTTAATCGGTTTTTTCATGACTATGTTTCATTTTAGTAATTATTTCGATAGTTTAATTCACACTAATTTTTGACAATTTTTTTTACATTGATTAAAATAGTTGTAGATTGATAATAGCATTAAAAATTACCGTGCATGGCACGGGACCTAAACTAGTATAGGTATAAATCAGAGTAAATTATAGTAGAAAAATAAATAAACATGTATAAATTCATAATACTAACATAATACCAACAAAAAGAACTAAATTCATAATACTGACATATATTAACAAAAAGAACAATAATACATCGACAAAGAACTAATTATATCATAAACCTAAGAAAGACAGAAAGACGCAAGACAAAAGACGAAAATGAATTTATATCATAAACTTCAAACTTGATATATGACATACAAGTAATTCTTTTAGATTGAAAATTAATACAAACAGTACACAAACTTAAGCAATTAAAATGAAAGAAACACAAAGTAAATGTAATCAAATACTCCAAATAATGAAGTTGTTTAATTAATTAAACTCTAATAACAAAACCCAACATCAATCCTATACAACAAACGTCATAGCAAATACGATTGGAAAAATAATAATGAAGGTCAAATACAATTTCATTAACCCATAATAAATCCATAATCAAACGTCATAGCAGTGACATACATCAAACCCAAATTAACAAAAAGTCAAAAATTAGAAATAGTGAGAAAGCTTACTAGGATTTGCTTCAGACCTTGATTATTGAATAAATTCTTGAAATTTTCAAATAGCTTTGGGTAATTTGGGGTATACTTGATTGCAGTGAGAAAGAGAATTGTGGCTGATGGTTATTTATATACTCCGTATGACGAAAGACGACGAGGGTTTTTGTGTATTGGAGGGAAATATTAGCCGTGGGAGGGAAAATTATCATATTGGAGGGAATAAAAAATTAGATAAATTAAATTTTTAATTTGACAGATTTTAATTTTCTCTTTCATGTCAAATTCCTCTAATTTTGGGAGGAAAGGAGATAGAATATTTTATTAAGGGAGCTTTCCATCCAATTCCTTTCATTTCCAATCAATTCCCATATAATATTTTGAACCAAATAAAGGAACAATCAATTTTCCTTTCCTTTCCTTTCTTTTCCACCCAATTCCCCCCAACCAAAAAGGCCCTTAATTATTTTATTACTTAAATGAGCCAGACTATTGTGGGAAACCTAGAATCGGGTATTATTGGAGGGTGTAGAAGGTTGGGGGGGTGGGGATGGGGAGGGGGAGTAGTTAGGAGTAAAGGACATGCAAAGGAAGAAACGTTTATGTTCTACTCTTTCACCACCATTCTTAAGGATCAAACATGGGCAAGATGGTTGAGTTATTTGCAATCAGTCTGATTTCCTTGTCGTCGATTCAATTATTTTGGCAAACGGGTGTCTTTAAGAGGACAAACTACATATCTCAGTGTGGTTTTGGATCATTCGATAAGAAAAAATGATTGTTTGACTTAATTGAGTAGAGGTCTTGAAAATAATGATCGAAATCTTTTTGCACCACGCTTTACTGGAGGCAAGCACATATTCTAACCCTAAATTATTGTTTTATGATTGCAGGCATGCTTTTGCTACAATGTCGTTTATATCAGAAACATTCATCTTCTTGTATGTTGGTATGGACACATTAGACATTGACAAGTGGAAGGAGAGCAATGCAAGGTATGTTTACATTGAACCTGTTTTCATTTTGTAGAATTCTATTCCTTCTAATCTATGGTTATAATTCTAGTGAAAACAATACCAATAGAATCTCGAGAGATGGCATTTACATGAGGTTACAGACAATTGTAGGTCAATGATATCTCAACCAAAACCAAACAAAGACTGGACCCACCAGAAATGGTTGGCTACATGGATCCCTGCTGCTACAAGCCTACAATCCAGCATGTAGAATCTATGCTAAAAGCTCATCTTAAGATTTTGCTGGCTCTCTGCTAGCTCAGACAACCTTTCTCTAAATGGATTTCGAGCTGGCAATAGGGAGAAAAGACATTGATTGGAGTGTGAGCTCTAAATCATTTCCCATGATTAAAGGACAACAATTTTTACAACCATACATAGAACATTATATAACAAATTCAACCTTTATATCATTGCCGACTTGGAATATTGGGCTGGCTTTCCGGTTGGGTCAGTCTTTGCCCGTTCTTATTCCATTACCAAGCTTCCAAATAAATTGTTGCCCAAACTTATCAATATTGTTTGGTTTGGTTAGGCATAGCTTTTGTCATTTGACCTGTATCCCTGTAGATGCCAACTACTTTCTTCATCCATTATTTTCTCCATTTGGATTGAATCATCTGATTGTTGATTTACTTCAGAACATTTTTGCTCATTATGAGTTCTCTTTACGATGTAACTTCTCTAATGAGGTAGAATATGGCAATATGCATCTGTGGAATAGTGAAGTTTATGAAGTACTTGATCTAGAGAGGATTCTCCCTGTTGCAATTGTCTGCGTTATAATTTAGCTGTATCACTGCCTAAACAAGAAGGATGACCCTAGTATAACATTTATATGATGATAAGAAATTCTTTGTGACTACAATGACAAAAGACTAAATTTAGTGTTTTTCTTCCAATTCAGTGTAGGAACTTACCTTGCTGTTAGTTCCGCGATGCTGTCTTTAATTTTGATTGGACGAGCAGCATTTGTCTTCCCTCTGGCTAATATTTTAAATTACACAAAGAAGAACAGTGATAAAAAAATTAATTTTTCTACACAGGTATGTCTCAATATTTCTGTTCAAATTCCAATCTGTTTTAAGTCTTTTTTTCCTTTTTGGTTCTGACAACTTGCAACTTCAGTTTATAATATGGTGGGCAGGACTAATGAGAGGTGCAGTTACCGTGGCCTTGTCCTACAACGCGGTAAATATTCATCCTATGATCTGTAGTAAAAATCTGCACCACTATACCAATTTTTTTTAATGAAATTATATTACTGCAGTTTTCAGGTTCTGTAGAGGTATCAAATGAGAGATCACTGATGATCAGTTGTACTCTCATTGTTGTTCTGTTTAGTACTCTGGTCAGTTATCTGCATACCCTCTTCATTTCTATATATTCTTTGTGCGTGTGTTACACCAGAAGTTTATCCTACTTTGAATTGCATAGCCTTTATAAAGTTTATATTATTCGCCCTTACAATCTTTGTATATAACTTATTTAAGTATCTAACTAGTTTAAGTAATCCTGTTTCTATGAAACAGCTGTTTGGAACTGTTACCAAGCCCTTGATTAGAGCAATTTTGGGAGCTCCAAGACATGCAGTTTCATATGCAAGTGATATACCAAGCCTTGAATATTTAGACATACCTTTCCTAGAAAGTCAGGAAAATCAAGATAATCCAGAAAATCAAGAAACGAATCTGAATGGTGATGAAGAACCTCGTCAAAGAAGAGGAGGCTTCAGTTTGATTATGAAATATCCTACTGGTGCCGTGCACCACATATGGAGGAAATTTGATAATAAATTTATGAGACCTGTTTTTGGCGGACGAGGTTTTGTGACATATGAACCAGCTTCGCCAACTGGTGCTGCTGATATAAGTCATGAGCAATAAATTTTGATTTAGAGTTCTCAGCTTCCTTTCCTTTTTTCCTTCTAACTAGTAGGGAAGATTTTGCAAAAAGAATAATGTCAAGTACATCACAGTATTTTTTTTTTTTTTTTTTTTTTTTTTGTATATTGTTGTAAATTGAGATAAAATCTTATTTGTCGCTAACATTTTGGATGGAGTCTGAGATTGAAATTGGAGTCATGGATGATATTAATGTTAATAGAAGATGTTGTTCGCGATGAACAGCATTCGAGGCTGTTAACATTTGATGTTGATAAATTACTAATTTACTTTGATCAAGGTTTAATTACTCCTGTAAACCTCACAGTTGTATTATAATGTCATTGTGCTTATGAAGTCAGTGCAATGCCCATTGCATTGGCATAAAGGCACAAATCCTTCATATTGCACGAACCGTGCAATTTTGCTGAGTTATGACTAATGAGTAACAAAATATGTTCTCGGCATCATACGTGCGCATTAGTCGCCCTATTGTTGTTAAAAAAAAATAAGGAAAAAAAACATGATTATTGTACTCCATACTTAAATAATTTTTATTGAATTTAAAGTTATTTTTTCGAATAAAACTTGTATTTTTTTTTTTCTTAAAACGGTTAAAACTTGCATTTATTAAACTTATACTGCTACAAAATTTTATTGATTCGCTATTATACCTATTCTTTAAAACTTAATTTTAAAATTAACTTTACTAAATATTATTTTGCATAACGGGAGAGAACAGGGCCTAACGAATGAAAAACAGAGGAGCAGGGGCGTAGCAGATCCTTCCTCATTAAACCCTCTCACTCCTCCCGCAAAACCCCTTCTTTCCCCTCTCTCTCTTCCCCACCATTTTCCAATCAAAGAACTCTAATTTGATCGAAAATGGCGCTTTTACGATCTAATGCTATTCGAAATCTATCAAAATTGGTCCAGCTTCAACAACATTCGTTTGCGTAAGAATTTCTTTCATATTTTTTTGCACAATTTATGTATTTTTTGAGTTCTTACTTCTAGTTGACTATCCATTTGTTTTATACTCCTGGATTTTTTTTTTCCCGGAATATAAATTTATTTGATCTATTATTCAATGTTTTTGCAGTCTGGGAAGCTCAAGAACTTACGCTAATGCTATTATTAACGGTACCAATTCTCAATTCTATGCTTATTGTTGCTGCCATTTAATTTTGATGCTATTTTGATACAATTTTTATATGCAGTATTAGTTTTGTTGAAGATTTTTGTACCTCAAATTTTTAATGTGGGGGTTCTTCAATGATGAATAGGAAATGAGAGATTATTGTGTATTGTGTTCAATGAGATGGAACTTAGAATTTTAAGTTTTCTTATAATCGAAGTCGTTATTCGAGTGCAATGTCAATAAGTAAGCAGGCGAGATTGACAAAGTGCCTTTCCTAATAAACTTTGAATAGGGTTTTAATGTGAACTTTCGAAAAGGAAATTGAAGAAAAAGCTGATCACATTCCTGAGGTACGAAGGGATAGAGAAGCGCACCTTAAAAGTTAAAAATATAAGAATCGTAAACTTAAATGAGCTATCGGTATTTGCTATTGATATTCTGCTCCACACTTAGAAATGGAATGGAAACAAGGTGAAAGAGTAATATAAAGTGTTACCATTATTTTTGTTGGGTATGCACATGGAAAGGATACCTTGTATCAAATTGGGGATTGAGGTGGGAATCATTTTTGTAACATAGGGATGGAAGAGGTAAAAAATGGTGGGTATTGGCTACCCCTATGACATGGAGCGTGTTACCACACCTCTCATATGGTCATACCAAATAATATGTAATGGAAATGGTTAATTGATTTCATTACCATCACTCAAAATTTCAAAAACTCTATACCAAACATGCTCTTAGTGGAACATTTTTGTAGCCTAAAAAAATTAATATGCTCCTGTGTAGTTACAAGTCTTACAACCATTCCGTTCTATTTTGCTCCTTGTTGGGTTTGTAAACATATGCCAATATTGAAAGTGGATGATATAATTGTGACTTCATGAGAATGTATTTCCTGTCAAGTTGATATATATATATGCTTACATGATTTTATTTGGTGTTATAAGGGCCTCAAGATAACTTATGCAAGACAGATTCTTCTTTATACAAGAGTCAAAACTATCCACTGGCTCATGGAAGAGCAGGGGTGCTTCGCTCTACAATGGTAGAAACCTCATACTAAACATTATTCTTTTGCTGTCAACTGATAAAAATAATTCTTTTCATCTATAATTTGTCTTATTGTCTTACATGATGATAGCTTGTTTTACGACATGTGACATTTCTCTCATCCTTAATATCAGGCTGCTGCTGAGATGTCAGTGTTTTTGTATGAAGCTAGATCATTATCAACACAAGCAAAAGCCCCTCATCAAGCACGGCAGACGGTAATTTGCCTGGCCAAACTTTTTCATAATCTTAGTGAGGTTCATAGTAATTTACTTAATGTGGCATTAGTAAACTGTAGTACTGTACATCTTTCTCTGCTACCTTGTTTAATTGCATGTAACTCTAGTACTGGCATTGGAAGAACAATTCGGATTAAATTCCATCCCTTATTTTGTTAAATTAATTTATGAAGCATCTCTTTGATGTTCCTAATGCAATCCCTTTTAAGGGGTAAGCTATGTTGGTAGAATTCACTATAGTAACTTTGATTCAGACAAGAATCTGGCAACCCCTTCGTGAACAATAATCCAAATTGTGTCACATTAGCTACTTTCACATATTAAGAATTTAATTAAATATAACTGCTGAATTGACAAAAATTAGATAAAACTTTGAATTGAAGGGAGTTCAATATTGTGGACCTAGTAAATGAAGTTAAAACGTGCATGTCTGTGTGTGTGCGCGCGCACCTCAGGTACTCCTATAGTCCTAGTTCCTTGAGCCTTATAAATATAACTGCTGAATTGACAAAAATTAGATAAAACTTTGAATTGAAGGGAGTTCAATATTGTGGACCTAGTAAATGAAGTTAAAACGTGCATGTCTGTGTGTGTGCGCGCGCACCTCAGGTACTCCTATAGTCCTAGTTCCTTGAGCCTTATGAATTTCTTCTTATCATGCAATTCTCAACTATGTTTGTAAGTGATTTAACCTGTTGTTCAACTTAATGTCTATTTTAGTTATACATGATGATGCCAAAGATAATTATTCATCCATCTTTGCTTTTCTGCTATTTGAAAAATTTCTTTGTCTGCTAATATTGAGTGGTCTTTTGCTCATCTTATTCTTTTGGTTGTTTTTGGCAAGATTCTACCTAAAGAAAATTTGAATGTTTTTGCTTCATTATTCATGCAGGGGGCCATGCAAGTTGCAATGCTTAGCCCTGGATTTATCTATGAACCATACGGGCCTCGAGAACCAATCTCATTCTTGCAAAGGTGGTTTTTTTGAAAGAAATTCTCTCTCATCTCACCACAAAGGTCCATTTTGATATTTTTTGAAGTTTAAGAAAAGATATTTGACTTCCATATCATTCATCCTTCAACCTGTCATACTAATGTTGATTATGAAACTAATATCAGTATTGTTAAAACAAGGATGTTTTCATTTGATCATCATGCTTGTGAGTTGTGGATATAGTTTTTATGCCATATGGCGTCGTATGGTAATCAGTTAATTGTAATTCTTAACAAGGTGCTTACTTCCATCTTTTTTTTTTATTGCAACAATTGAAGTTTCATGGTTTCATGGTGCACAACTTTAACTATTAATATCTTCAATCACATACCCATAAAAGTCTTCAAAGGTTAATATGTTGAAGTTATATATTGAGATGAATCTAACAATACCTCACATGACTATAATATTCCCTACGTAAACATCACAATATATGGTCAAATGATAGTAAGTGAATAGTGTCAAAATCCAATTGTTGTGATGATTTTTTTTTTTTTTTTGGAGGAAGTATATGTTTTATTTGCTTTTTATGCTCTTAGTTTCCTGTAACAAGTTCTGTTTATCCTCTATTTGGTGAATTAGACTTCAAAAGAATTTTTTTTTTTTCTCTCTCTCTCCTTATGATGGGAACTCTCTTTATGTTTCTGTTTTAGATGGTTCACTAGAAGAGGATGGAGAAGAACGAAGGAAGACATGATCATAGAGGTAAGTTTTCATTATTTGCATATTAATTTTCCCCAAGGGCTCTGTTCTTGCCCTGAAACAATTGAGATCTTCTTCTGTTAATTGTTTTAGCAAGGCTGATCTTTGTAATTCTTGATGCGCTCTCACTTTAGTATATTCTTCGACTTTGCTTTGTCTTTGCAGTTTGTTGGATTTATGTTGTATATATGCTAACGCGGTTTCTCAAAATACACGAGGGTAGATTAGTCTTAGTTGAACTATCCCAAGCGCTTTAGTTTAAAGGAATATATCATTAATTAGACAGATGACAGAGAACAATGGGTGGAGAGTGGAGACAAGGAGCCCTTAAATCTTATTTATAGATCGTCAGCCAATCACACTGAGATTGACAGATCTGGTTCCTTCAGGGTATGTGGCCTGTGTGAGAATATAAAGACCACTTTACCCCACAGCAACGCTTGATGAGAAGCCCTTCTGCAAAAATGCACACCTTATATTTTCAACTAAAAAAATTACTTCACCACAATCACAACTCTATGCATTCATGATTGCAGGTATTTTGATACAAAACCAGGCTAAAGCTCTTTGGCAACAATGTCTAAGAGCTTATACCAAAAAAAGGGGTTCAATCTTGTAATACAAATTAAAGTGGTTTTTTGGTCTGAAACATTTCGTGACACATAACATATATGTTGAAAGAATTATGCCTCTATATGCAGTTTGTTTAAAATTACTAATTTTATACTAGATTTCTATTGATACCTTCAACCTTTTTGGAAATTTTGATTTTCAAATTAAATTAGAGATAATTAAAGAACTTTGTTGGAGAAGATTTGAAACTTTTGAAGTATTTGTTGCATGGGGTATGAAATGACCAGTTAAAGGAGTCCCCTCTCAACCATATAAGTTTTTGTAGAAGATATATGAAATGATAGGTCAGAGGAGTCCTTTCCTAACCTATAGCAACCCAAGAGAGAACAAGCTTCAATGATTCCTACCATGTCCACCCTCCGTCCCTCATTAGTTCGAACATTTATCACTGCACAAGTTATAGGAGATAAGTTGTATTTGAGTTATCTGCTGTTATTTTAATAGAAATTAGATGTGAAAAGGAGATTGTGGATCCAAAAGTAAGGTATGATATAATAGATAATTAGGATGACCATACCAAAAAAGGACTTCAAACTATTTTGTGATGGATGAAATTGGAAAGTGCTTGAACTATTTTGGGATGGAGGGAATTATCATTACTAAGTGGATGAGCCACAGGATTGTGACATTGATCTTTTCTCTTTTAAAATCATATGTTTCAGATAAGGGTTAATAATTTAGATAACACCTACTGAGTCTATTTTACAGCTTATATATAGTTTGAAGTAGTTCATATTAAGCGATACATCTTGATAAGTTTAGATAAGGAGTTTTCAGGTGAAAAGAATGAAACCATGTCCTACACTCAATTATTCAGATCTCCTTTGTTGTTAGTTGCAGATATTTTAATGAGATTACATGCTTCATTGTTCATTGTTATGTGCCGTTTATTTGCAGATGAAAAGCGCCTATGCTATCTCCAAATTGAGGAAATTTGGGTATTCGAAACAGGGTTTCTATAAAGAGGCGTTTGAATTATATAAAGAGGTATGCCTTATATGGTATCAACTTTTGACTTGCCTTTTACTTTCTGGTCCTTGAGAATTTTAGAACCAACAAATGGGTGTTTCAAGTTCCTATGGATTTTAAATGGAAAGAACATAAAGCACATATGTACTACTTCCTCCGTTTCTTTATACTGGCAACATTTCCCTAAAATGGAAATGTCACAATACTTGCAACACACTGTAATTAGAAAGTTCTTTTTGTTAAAAGTTGTACTATTACCCTTATTTTAATCTCATGGCCCACTAAATTTTACTTCTAACCATCTCTTACCCTCATTTTAAGTGTATTAGATTATATCAGCCCCACTTTTCTTAAAATACCGTGAAAAAGTATGTGTTGCAAGTATAAAGAAACGGAGGAAGTATTTGTTTCTTGATATCTGTAAACCGTCTAGGTCTATTAGCAGGATTCACAAACTATTGTATTTTCTATTAGAAAAAAATAAATAATTCAATATTCAATGTTAGAATCTCGTGAATTTCAACAAATACTAATAATGTAAAGGAGAGTTAGTACTCATTTTTGTTTTATTAGTCTAATTAAAGGAGTATAGGCATTATCGTTATGAGGTCATTACAAACCCAATCACACATAAAAAGGAAGATATGTATAGGGTGATGATCTGTATTTTTACAGCTAATAGATTATTTTAGCTTGTTTACTAATGCTTTGTGGTGGTTAATGTCTTATGAAGCAACCAAATGTTTTTTTGATATGGGTATTAGCATCAATTAATAATTATGGAACTTTCTTTTTCTTTTTAAGTTAAAAACCTTCCAACACAGCTGACTAGGTTATGGGTCGCATCTTATGTCTGTATTGTTCATGTATTTTGCTGAGCTGACTGTGTATCTAAGTTGTTCTTTCTTCACAGATAAATGCATACCTGGCACATGGTGATAAAACTTCATTGAGGAAATTAGTTACGGAAAACATGTTCTCAGTAAGTTATCATTTATAGTTTTCCTGAGAGATTTTTCCTTTGACTTGTTTACAAATCTGACCAGGCTTAATTCATACAGGTCCTGAAAAATGATATAAAAAAAAGAGAAACAATGTGGAGCAGTGTGTATTGGGAATTGGTTGTGCCAGCTGTTAAAATCCGAACCCTGCGAGCTAGACTGGCAAGTTTCTAATATTTCACACTCAATCGGTTAAAATGTGCTTCGTAAAATCTTGCACTGAGCTTGGAAAGACAACTTTCACAATATGAAGTGTGAATCAAATACAAATCTTTTACAAAAAAAACACATTTTTGCTTTGCTGTTCTTTTCTTCTTCTGTTAATTGTGGATATTTTAACATGAGCACCTTCATTATCTGTTGGAATACTCTAGCCTCCCAACATTTATAACTTGTCTTGATTTTTTCCTTATTGAGTGACTTCTGTCTATTAAAAAAGGGCTGTTACTGAATGAGATAAGATTTACTCCTCTTTGGGAGTGAGGCATTTAATCAGAAGGATGTTTATTAAGAGCTTCAAAAAAATAAAAAGAAAAAAAGACATGGAGGTTGGAAGTCTGGGCACTTTAGGATTGTGTCAAGAATCAGGAGTTGTGTAAGGTCATAAAGATGAAAGGGGGATGGGTCGCTCTTTAAGGAATGCGCCCACTACAGTCTCTGAGAAGTGGGGTTTGAAGTCTATTATGGGTCCACAAATTTATTGTAATAAATCCTTGTATCAGAGAAGTGGGATTTGAAGTCTTTACTTTCTTGATGCCTGTTATATTTTTAAATATGTTCTGCATAGCTTTTTTCTTTCAACATCCCCTTCTTGGAGCAGAGTTGAATATATTCTATGAAGTTTTAATTTTAGAGAGTACTATGAAGCTCTGGTGTTATCCCAAGTTACTAAATTACTTTGGTTGCTCTTGAGCCTTTGTTTCTGACATAATGGAAGGGTTTGGATGCCATTCTTCTATAGGGTATCTCACATGTAGCTCTTTACATTGCTGTTTACGTTAAGCTCCTTATTTAAGTGTCTTTGTTCTTTGTTTATTTGGAAATTAGTAGTGCCACATAGATTGAAAGCATGTTGACGTTGTGCCTTATTTGAGTGGAAAAAAATATAATTAAACTACCTTTTAATTTGCGTTGTGACTATTCTAGAGATGATCTCTTGATGCTCTTGTAGAAGTAGGCTGCCTGTGGCCGTGTTGTTTAGAAGCTGTAGTCGTTGCTGTAGCATAGTTACCTTATGCTAGTGAAAAACAGCTTAGTAAATTATTTCAGTATGGAAAATATAAATAATTAAATATTGAGGTTCAGTCTCCATTTTTGTTCAAGCAACTTTATTCTAATCTATTTTTGAAGTGAATCTTATCCCGTAATATTCTGATTGCAGATTGGTGTTGACCGCAATGACCTTAAGAAGGTTTTCATACAGCTCACCCTGGAGTTTCTTACAAACCAGGTATTCTTCGTTTCAATGAAACATCTCAGTGATCTAGTTAACTGCTGCAAGTTGCCTTTTGTTTAAGGAAAAATACACTTTAATAATCCCAACTATGAGCGATTTACTTCTAATAATCCCAACTAAAGTTTATTTTTTAACTATGGGGTTAGTTTGCCACTAGTAGTCCCGGATGACCGGTAACTTGATAAGCAGGTTATTTATTTATTTATTTATTTATTTATTTATTTATTTTATATAATTACGTGTGTCGCAATTCTACTGGTCTAGAAAAAAAAGTTAAAAAGAAAAAAAAAATTTAAAAAATAAAAGAAAACCCAAAATACCAGCCTTTCCCCCTTCCCCCACCTGCACCTCCACCGCCCAGCCCAATCTCGCCGAGCCTCCGCTCCTCAACCATCTCAGCCGTCGGCCCTCCCCCTTCCCTCTATACCGCCATCCTCAAAACCCTAATTTCCCCCAAAATCCTCTTCCTCTTTAATTTTTTTTGTTGGGATTTTCACTGTTTCGCCCGTAAATTCCTAGTGGAATTGAACCGATTTTGTGTTATGAGGTTATTATTTCGACATTACCAGGTAAATATTGGATTTGTGTATTGTTTTTGTCATAATTCGGCGTAATTTTTCTGCAAAATTCAACTGCTTAATTGATGTATTTTATCGGAAATAGGGGAGGGGGAAACCGGCACAGGGGAGGTTGGGGTTTCCAATTGAAACAAGGACATAAGGAGGTAGGTTGGGGTGGTTTTGCGAGCCGGCAAGCAGGTAAGATGGTGGTGGTTTGAGGCGATTTCGGGGGTGGGGGGAAGGGAGGGGTAGTTTCGGGGGTGGGGCTGGGGAAGGTGGTTGTTTTCGTCGGAGTGGAAGGGGAAAGGGGAGGTTTCTGGCGAGGTGGCGGCGTATTCCGGCTGGGCTAGGGGGATGGGGTGGCTGGTAGGGAGGAGAGGTTTTTTTTTTGTTTTTTTTTTATTTTTTATTTTTTATAATTTTTCAGTCTTTTAATTTAATTTTTTTTTGAACCACTCACGTGATGCCACGTGTCAAAGCAACCTGTTATATTAGGTTGATGACCGGTTGGGACTACTAGTGGCAAACTGACCCCATAGTTAGGATTAATAAAAAAATAAACCTTAGTTGGGAATTATTAGAAGTAAATCGCTCATAGTTGGGGATTATTAAAGTGTATTTTTCCTTTGTTTAATGCTGATTAGTTTTTTTTTTTTTTTTTTCTTTTATATATGCTCAATTAAATATGCTCTCATACATAAATCACTAATTATATTGCTATGCCCGTAAGGAGGGACTGTGTCATTGCTAGTTTTAAAAGATGTTATCTGCTCTGTTCAAAAGGTTGAATGTAAATTTCATAAACAGTGTTTCTATAGCACAAGCTTTTGGTGATGACTCTTGAATGTAAAGGGAGTTAAAGAGATACACATGAAATATCGAGATGTCAGCTATAAGTATTTAGTGTGAGCTTTGTGATTTGTGATCTGGCCATGTCATGCCTCATGTTACATGGTACCAATATGTGATTCGATTTGGTTTGGTCGGTGTAACCATGATTATTTTGAGTGGACTTTAAACAATATGAATTGCAACATGATGGAACCATCATTTGTAACCAGGAATGGATACAAAATGAAGGAATCATGATTTTTTGGACTTTAAACAATATGAGTTGCAACATTGACCGCAATTAGTGAATAGAATGTAGAATATCAAGTGCTATGTTGCATTAAAAAAATTGATACCGTATTTCTGATGATGGACATCAAAATGTCCAAACTCCAATAATATCTTGAAACCTAAAAATATGTTAGATGTATTCATGTAGGAATGAACGAGTAATTGCTGCAAATAAACTTGTAATGGAGATAGTTAATTTTAGAATATCAAAACAAAGTTAATAAGAGTTGAAATGATAAATGAGTATACTACACACAAACAAATAAAAAAAGGTGTTACATGAAGATTTTAGTCTAGTTAAAATTTTATAGGACAAAGCAGTATGATATGGAATTTTCCCTCTCATCTTTTAGAGGTGCTACTAAAAAAAAAACGATAAGCTTAGCAAAAAAACCAAGTATCCACAGGAAGTAAGAACAATAACGTTAAGTTTTCTAGAAAGTTAATTTTATATGGAATCTGCAAACAATTTAATCACTTTTTTTCTTGTAGATTGGGAAGGAAATTTTTAATAAGATAGTTGTCAAGTGTCCCTCCTGCTCACTAATTTTTTATTTTTTTTGACAAACACTTCTTTTATCTTGAGGATATAGATAAGTGCTCTAAACTCTTCAGGCTAAGAGATACTTGTGAGTTGTGGCATCATTCCGACCAAAAAATCCCTTCTTTGTCTTTAAATAATTGACAATCGCTCAGTTAAGAATCTTCTTTCACTGTCATCGTCTTTTATATTTTCAAAAGCTTTGGAGACCCCAAAATGAACTTTTGTTATCACAATTGAGAGCACACCTAGGAGCCTCATCAGTTTAACAGATTACAAAATTGTGAACTCGAGATGAGAGGGAAAGGATGCTAGATTTATTTGGCAAAGATTTTCTAGGTTTCATGATAGCTATATTTAGTTCTGGACTTTGACAAGCACTTGTATTTTTTTTCTTTTTTTTTAAACTTAAAATTCCATATTGTTTGCTTCATTATTAACTCCAGCTTGTAAGTTTTTTTAGAGTTTGGACTTGGCACTTTTTCCTTGCTGTTGTTTACTAATCTTATTTAGTGTTTCAATCACTAAAATGTAAAGGGGTAACGTTCATTTATGCAATTCAGTACTCCAAATTTTAATTTATTGATTAGAATTTCAGTTAATGGTTCTGCTTAAAATTTACCAAAGAAAAAAGTACCCATGCACTCTATTCACCATAGGTAGCATTCCGCATATCCGAATTAATATATGCATAATCTTCATTTATTTATGTGGAATAATGCCAATGACAGAGTTGGATTTAAAAGAGGGGGAGGGGGAGAGAGGGGGGGGGGGAGGGTGAAGTAAAGGACAGAAGAGCTGGGAGATATATCATACATGTATCAATGGATATAAACAGAATGTGACTAAAGTAGGTTTATAATACAAGGGAATCAGCTAAATAAAGCTCCATTCTTCCATATTGTGAAATTTCACTTTGGGTTTTTCCCCCCTTTTTCCCTCTGGCGTTGTACCAAATGCGCTTTTTTGTGATTATTGGATTTTTCTTATCTGTTTTTCATTGCAATTGAAAGTTGAATGAGATGATTTTCTTGCAGAAGTTTGAGGCTTATAATTCTGAAGGCACTGCTGTTGCTGGAGATAAAAATAAAGAGGTAGTTGCGTGCTCCATCTTGATATCATGGCCAATTTACTGTCATATATTGATTTTCATATTATATTATGTGATTTTTCTTGATTTTGTTTGAAATATTTTCAACAAATGCATGCTGATATTTGGCTAGACTTCTTATTTTCAATTTTAGTGATTACATTAGAAGATTATAGACATGGAGACATTGACTAAGGCCCAGTTATCTAGAACTCAACCACCCAGACTAAAATCTGTTCTGAAAATGACTAACTGATCTTGACCCCGAAACATCAACCTAGTTGATGCAAACTAACTCGAATTTTGCTAGCCTGATGATGACTCAATACAATCCTAAATCGAGTGGAAAGTGATATCAACTGATTACAGTTTGATTACTGCTGACACAATCCATTTATTGACTTGAATTTTTCTTCTTTTTGGTATATTAATTTCAATTATTGTTCTTTGTATGTGTAGACACCTAATTGTGTCTCCCCAACTCAAACCCTTAGTAATTTAACTCTTCACACCTTGGTTTAAGAGTAATACTTCGAGTATTATAACGTCTCTTTGAATTGCTTGAAAGAATAGCGTCAAGGGTTAAATTACTGTAGGTTTTAGTTGGGGAGGCACAATTAGGTGTCTACAGTTTGTACAAAAAAATTGCATTTTTAGCCTTAAACATCCCTAAGTGGAGCTACATGCAACCAAAATTTTCAATATAAACCACCCTATTAATTATCCTAATTAAAACCATCTGCTACATCGTTTTCTTATTCAAAACCCCCACCCCATCCTTTTCTCTCTCCAATTTACAATTACACCTATTTACTTGAACCAAAGGCATCAGTCATCAGCACATTAATTTCAAAGTCCCCATATACCTTACCTTTTCCCCCTCTAAGATTTCCTCCACCACTAACACTCGAGTTTCCAACTAAGTTACCCCATCCCCCTCTCTTCTCCTTTGTCAAAATTTCCTTCGCTCATTGCAAGCGACACCTGCCATGGAAGACCTCAGCTCTAATTTACACCAAAGGATTAGGTGAGTATGTGGGGGGTGAAGGGATGGGTTAGGAAGATAGAGCAGAGATAGGCAGGCTAGATGGAGGATAGCAAGGGCAACAAATGCGACTGTATCACCAGCAAATTTTTGGCAGCAAAGAGCATCATCTATGGCAGGCAACAACCCGGCAGCAATAGGCAGTTGTAGCAGCCCTGAAAATGAGACTAAGGAGGGTGGAGTTGGATGAAGGTGTGGCTGTAATTCCAGGACACTTGGAAAGGGGGTTAGGTGGGTTGGACTTTGGACAACAGGATTGCCGGAGGAGGTGGCTGGGGTGGTGGGCACCTGGGTTGAAGAGAGAGAGAGAGAGAGAGAGAGAGAGTTGTAGTGGGTGGATGGGTTGGTGTACTGGGGATGGAGAAGTCGAAAAATGAGGGTAGTGGAAATATGGAATGGTAGTGTGGAAAGGAAAGGGAAAATATGATTAGATGAAGTGGATTTGATTTGAGTAGACGAGGTCTGCTAATGGTTATATTCATGGGTAGCTCTGTGAAGATGGAAGTAGGCTTATGTTATGAGTGGTTCATTTTAATTGTCTCAGGTGTGGGTGGCTATGAGATTAAAGCCTTGGCATAGGAAAAATACTTGTATATATTATTGATTTTGAATTATTTCCTTCTAACCAACTTGGCTGGAAATGCTGCAGCTGATTGGGCAAGGCGTAAATTGTTGCATCTAGCTATTTGCAAATTAACAATTTGGAATGTAATCATTGTTAACTTAGTCGTTCACTTTTTAATATCAACCATAACAAATCAACTTCAAGCACCTAAGCTCAGTCAAACACAATCTTGGAAACACAATGATCTACGGAGTACATACTGACCAAAATGACATCGAACTGACTGGACGTAGCAGAGGAACCATTAAACCTATATCTGAATGTAACTGAACCCAACTTATATACTAGTATATTTACAATATAATCCTTTTAAATCTGTATCAGGGTGGTCCAATTTTCTAAATTTGTTTTGAATGGTTCAGTTATACCTAGAAGATTATCGCTGTGAAATAAACTGAATAGTACATCTGACAAAAATTTGTCTTAACACTCGTACATATGTATCAAGGCCTGCAATATGAAATGTTGTTCTCAAGAAACTCAACTCTGTTGTCACATGGAGTTTTGTACCGTCTTGCTCATTCAAACACTTACTGCTGATTCTGATGTTCGAGTAGGTACTTGTTCGTGATATATGGGTATTTGAGAAGTCACTCTTTCACCCTGGAGCATATTGGCGTCTCTGTGGACGAATTCCTCCTCCTAAATAGATCTTAGTAGTTAGACTTGATTGTCCTGTAATGTACAGTTGCAAGGCAAATTTTGCTTCTGCCAAAATTTTGCAAGTTTAGCATGTGTTGTTTCACAAAGTATCGTTTTAGCTTTGATATTGGCATACACCCATGGATGTGGGTTTCAGGCAAAAGTTATACGCTCCTTGTCACCGATATTTCCAACCAAATTGTATAAATTATGGATATTTGAGATTATTCTAGTGGTTCAAATGTTCTGTATTTTCTTATGGCTTAAATTGCGTTTTAATGTTGAAGTTTCAGTTACACATGGAAACTGGCTGAAAAAAGAGAGAATATTTCTTCTTTGGATAACCAAAACAGTGGGGTTTTCATCCAAGAAAAGAATCTCTTCTACCTTTGTTTTCACTTGCACTCCACTTTTGCTAGGGGATACCATGTTTTACATAGGCTACCTACCTTATTTGTTATTCAAAAACCTCTCATACGACGTAAGAAATGGTTCAAAATGAGCAGCAGCTTCAATCTCTTGGAATCTGCCATAGATTGTTCCGCTTCATCATGAGAAACTTAGCTGCGCAAGCCCTTAAACCTGTGACCTTGGGCCCTCCGGCTCAAATTCAGCAAACCCGAATGATAAGTTGGCCTGTCATTGATCGACAGGAAATGAATTCTCAACGTGGTTATTCAATTAATGGAGCTGAAGATTGTGATATTTTGGCTTCAGTTGAAATTGAAGATGAATCTTCTCGATTGCTTGATGCCTCTGATCAAGGAAAAATAACAATAGAATTTGTGGGTAAAGCTAAAACTAAAGCTCCAAGAAAAATGGTTAGCATAAAAGATGAACCTGAAATTATAAATGAGAGCAAGAAAAGGAAGAAGAACGAGGTGACAGAGAGAAGAAACGACGGGGAGTTAAGACCTCTGAGATCCATTCTAAAGGTGGGTTCAAATTTTCCCAAGACTTCAGCTCAGGATGGTAACGGCAATCCTGTGAGGAAAGCCACGTTGGACTAGTCATCTCTCAGCAACATATAATAAATTGTTTTATTCTGTACATTTCCTGCATAATGAAAGAGAATTATTGTTTAGTTGTATTGTTGGAGCTCATGTCAAAAAAAAAAAAAGAAAAGAAAAAATTCCATGCATAGTGTTTAATGAAAATTATTCTTTAAAAAATAACATGTGTTGTTTAATTTATTTTTGTTAGAAAAAATTACTTCAATATCCTTATTGGTCATTTCACAAATTTCTTAAAAATAAATAAATTAAATGACAAGCGATAAAATAAATTGTTGTAATTGTTAAGAAATGAATGAATGTTTATTAAATAATTTTACACAATATTACAATTAGGTAGTCAAACCAATTAATATACCAGTAATTAGTTTTACTTTCTTACCGATGTTCTTCTCCTTTAAAAAAATAAAATCTTTTTTGAGTACACAATGACGCAGTGAGCAAAATACAATCATATTTGTGCCTCCTAGTGCCATGTACGGGCCATAATAGCAAAGCTTGTGTACAATTTGACATTTTTTGAATGGGTCAAGAAAAAGGTGTGTCGTGCCGAGCTTGTGTTGATCTTTCATAAATGAAGCCCATGCATAACCTTATCCATGCGTTATATTGTACTTGTACTCGGTCCTACTTTGCTAGTGGATCTTTTAGTAATTTAACCTTCTTTTGTAAATTGGTCAAATATAAATTGGTCGACATGAAGGTCACCTATCGTGACCATGTTTAGCCTATGCCTGAAAATGATCTCCATATATATCGTTCATAGACTTGGCAATCCCGACCCAGACCCGATGACCCGAAATTGACCCAAAACATTGACCCGAAAATGACCCGAAACCTGAAATTGACCCGACCCATACCGACCCGAAAATGGAGTTGACCTGAACCTGACCCGACAACCGAACTGACCCAATCCGAAGTTGACCCGACCTGAAATTGACCCGAAGTGTTTGACCCGAACAGACCCGATACCCAAAATTGACCAAATAGAGCCGATACCCGAAATGTCCCGAACTAAAATTACCTTATAATTGGACTTAAAATGTCTTGTACCAAAAGTAACTCAAATTGTTCATTTTCAACCGTAGCTAAGCTCATAAACTGAATTGATAGTTTTTATTATAACAATAACAAAATATAAACTCTGTATAAAATTATTCATTTGAGCTTGATTCACAATGAAACAACCCGAACATGACCCGACCAAATTTTGACTTGACCCGAATATGACCTAAACATGCTTGACCCGACCCGAATGACCCATTTTCCAGGTCTAATCGTTCATAACACATCAACGCGCCTCTAATATCAGGCTTGTGACGGGATAATCTCTTATCAAAACATTTTCACGTCGTGCCTAATCGAGCCTCTGCCGACCGACTCCACTTGCCGTCTCTAATCCCTCCATTAGTCCATTGGCCAATTGACCAATGTAAAAACTCTCCTTAAAGCATAAGCAGTGACGCTTTGTAGCAAGAACTAAAAAGAATATGGGAAGTGGATGCTCCACTCTCTCAACTCCAACTCCTAATCGCACCCTTTTTTATTCTCTTTCCTCAACTCTTCCAATCAATAATAATCCAATTCTTTCAACAATCTCCCAACTTCTCCATTTTATTCCCATCTCCCCAATCTCAATAACACATCCATGTCTCAATTTTCATTCCCATCTTCTTCCGTTCTTCCTCTTAACTCCAGCAAATCCGATTCATTTGAAACCCAACAACAAAATTCTGAAAAACCCATCTTCAATCCTCATGATATTAATCCCAATTTGCTTCAGAAATTGGTTTATGATGCCTTGGTTTGGTGTTCTCTTCATGGGCTTCTCGTTGGTGATAGAACTGCTAAGGTTTGTGATCGTTTTCCCTAAGTAGATGTAGAAAGGATTTAATTACACCAATTAACGCGTGATTTTGCCGCCCGTAAATTTCCATGTTAATACCATCTTGTGAAATGTGTTATGATTTAGCAATACCCTTTATACTTTTGAATTGGGTTACTTTTGAAGTTTGTATTTTCTCTTTTGTTTATTTTAGCAATACCCTTTATTTAAGTTTCCTGGGGTTTTATAAACATGAATTTTTGGAACAAAGTAAAAATGCACGTCAAATTCTTATAAAGTTATATGCTTTATGACTAAGGGAAGGAATAATGGATTTATAAATGTTGATTTTGGTTTAATTAGACTATTAGAGCTATTATTGGTTTGACAAACTTTACAAAAAGTCCGGTTTACAGTAATTATTGAATGGCGGGTTGCTGGCGACTTCAATTTCCTTCCTCTTTCAAGGTCCATGGCATCTAATAGAAGACTTGACGATATCTACATCTTTCGCCACTTTAACACTACCTTTGTTCTAAATCAGAAATATTAATCTAACTCTCTCCTATTTCAATGCTAAATAAGGTGATATTGAAAATTTCATAATTCCTCCTTCTTTCTCTCACCTCCCTAATTTGGCAATATACTCGTACATCAATTTCAAATAATTCAAAATCAATTCAATCTTTTTTACCCTTTCATTCTATATCAATTGTGAGAAAAGATACTACAACAATTAGGTATTTTTGTTCACTTAACTAGGTTGATTTCGTGAGATTTGGGGAAGATGGAGATTGATAAATTTCACCAAATTTCAATCAATCAACGATTAACTATTGGCAAAGTAAAGGGTAACTTTATGTAAGTAAAGGGTAACTTTTTGTGAGAATAAGGATAACTTTAATGACAATAAGGGTAATTTTTGCGCCGCACAATAACACTATTGTAAATCCAATGTATACAAAAGTTTTTGTATTGGTTTAAAGGGCAGTTGGGTATTTGTAATTTGGTTGTTAAATGGAAGTGAAAATATTCTACTGTTAAATTGTTGTGGTTATATTGCAGAAATCAGGGACAGTTCCTGGGGTTGGTATGATTCATGCCCCAATTTCTCTTTTGCCTGCCTCATTTCCTGAGGATCACTTTAAGCAAGCATGTGAATTAGCTTCTATTTTCAATGAGCTCTTTGATCGTGTTAGCTTGGATGCAAAGTTTCTCCAGGATTCGCTGTCAAGGTTCGTTTTCGATGTCTCCACATTGTAGATGATGTACATTGCAAATTTTGCATTCTTGTAATGTGTACATCTTGTCGAAACCCATCAGATTAGTTCTTTTATCAATAAGTATAGTTAGAAAACTGGAAGAGTAACTTGAGTTGCCCACTTTGGGACAAGAATCAGGTATACATATGAATTTGAGTATAGGCTTAGCTATTTAAGTTGCTCACTCTAGAACAAGAATCAAGTGTACATACAAATTTGAGAATAGGCTTCGGAATTTGAGTAAAAGCTGGAATTTGAGTAATAGCTTAGCTATATATGTTGTTTGCTCTAGGACAAGGATTCAGGTGGGGCACATATGGATTTGAGTATAGGCTTAGCTATATAAGATGCTCGCTGGGGGACAAGAATCAGGTGTGCATATGGATTTGAGTATAGGCTTAGCTATATAAGGTGCTTGCTCAGGGACAAGAATCAATTGTACATTTGGATTTGAGTATCTTCTTAGCTATCTACTGCTCTACTTGATACTAGTGTGAACTGTGAAGTGCCATCATATAGGTGAGTCAGATGTATGTAGTTTTGGTTGGAATAGATTCCAGAGATAAGAGTTATATATTTCAAGTTCAATGAGATTCATGGACAAGGAATCATAACTTTTTGGTTGGACATTAAGTTTGTCATCCTGGGTTTTTGGTTTTTCTTTTGTCTCTACTCAGTATATTGATTTGGATTAGCAGGTTGTGCATGTGAAACTGAATATTCCAGCTGTTTCCATATTACAGAACCAGAAAAGTAGATGAATTCACATCAAGACTGTTAGATATTCACTCCAAGATGATAGACATCAATAAGAAAGAGGTGATTTTATTTTTTCTGTATATTGTTATGAACAGGAACTACAATCATCTTGGTTACAAGGGTGGAAAAATATAATGGTAATTGCTTTGAGAAGTTTGGGGTCTAATCTGATTCAAAAATAAATATAGGAAATACGTTTGGGCTTACATCGATCAGATTACATGCTTGATGCACAAACAAAATCACTTCTCCAAATAGAGTTCAACACAATCTCATCTTCATTTGCTGGGCTTATGTGTCTTGTCAGTGAACTTCACAGGTAATATGAATTTCTGCTTCCCCTGTAGATTACATAATATTTACTCATTACTAAATTTCAACTAAAGGGCCCT